CAATTCAATTAAAGACGAAGAACCCCATTCGTTCGCTTATTTCCTCATAGCAGTTGAAGACTTTTCTTAGTTGCCTCGTAGCTTCATCCCTTGTTTCTTCCTTCCTTAAGGTTGTTCAATGGCGGAAGGAAAAAATATGTATTAGGTATTTCACAGCTCTCTCCAATCGTAAAAGAAATATGGATTTCGTAGGTGGAGTAAAGAGAGGTCAATATTGAAATTATCGAATTGTCCATCTATTTAACACCGATTTGACGGAATAACAAACGGAGGACTACATTGAGCAAAAACACAAAAGTCTGTGACTACATTAGGTCACCAAAGTCGTTTAGGACGAAATTAAGAAAAATCACTATAATCGAGTACCATTTTTGGTATCAACTCATTTTTTTTATATATATTTTTGTTATCAAAATTGTAAGTGCCCAAAATGTGGACCAAGTATGTACTTTTTATTATTATTATTATTATTATTATTATTATTATTATTATTATTATTATGTAATTATAAAAATATTTATTTCACTTAAAATTTATATTTTGTATTTTCATATTTAATTTAATTAAACAATTTTATATATTTTTATTTTTGATAAGTTTGATTTTTTTTTCCAAAATAATTTTAAATATAACATAATAATACTTAATTGCATAGAAATTAAATTCATCATACAATTAATCATCTAAAAATTCTCACATTTCTCGTACAATTTTTATTTATTTTTTGTTTTGTTTTGTTTCATTCATAGTTGATATATCTAATCGCATTAATGAGTTGTTTGGTTCACGGAATATGTCTGGAATGGCATAACATTTCCAGTAATAGGCTTATTCCTCTGTTTGGTAACCCCTTGTATTCCTAGGAACATTGTTCCCGGGAATGACTTATTCCTCTTGCAAGGGGAATAGAGATTCCTGGGACCCCCCCTGGTATTAGGCTATTCCGGAGTTCTCAGGAATAGCCTAAAGTTTCTATTTCATATTTTATCTCCCAATTAAATTAATTTCCTATTTCACCACCGCCACCATCGCTACAGCCGTCGTCGTTGCCACCACCACCACTACCCCAGCAGCACCACTGCCACCGCCCACCATCACCAGAACTGCCGCCACCACCACCACCATCGCCACCACCGCCGCCACCAACGTCACTGCCATCACCACAGCCACCATCGCCACCATCACATATTTTTATAAGGGTATTTATGTCTTTTAAAACATATTTCATTTCTATTCCTTAAATCAACCAAACACTGTAATATAATCCTAAAGTCTATTCCTTCCGCTAACCAAATAATAGAATACAATTCCTATTCTATTTCTTGCCTATTCTATTCATTGCCTATTTTATTCCTTATGGAATAGCATTCCTATTACCTCAAAATTCATTCCGTGAACCAAACGTGTTGTAAGTGTAATACTAACTTATTTTTATATGTATTTTATATTTTCTATTTGCTTCATGCATTGTTTCATAACATTCACCTTCTCCAACTCCAATATTATTTTTTCATGTGCTCATCCAAACTTTTAAATTTTGTTCATCGTGTTGGTGCCTGTTTCTTTTTCGCTTTCCTCTTAGAGACATCTCTTCCCATGTGACGAGGGATAGAAACTCTTGTACCAGGATCTTCACATACTTGCGAACAATCAAGTACTCCGTATTAGATAACGATGATGTGTGTTTATCTGACTTGGTATTTTTAGTTTGCTTCGAACCCCTATCTTTAGCTAAGTTAATATCGATAATCCTCCCTTCTTGGTTATGACATTTCTCTTCATTCTTTAGCACTTCCCAAGCATGTAGAAAGGTGAAATTTTCATTCTTAGTCTCATGATATAATTCCAATGTTCTGTTTTTTTTTTAATCAGCTTTATTTAAACCAGTATCCCTCCAATGTAAAATTTGTGTATAACAACTTGCAAGCTTTGAAACAACATGACTTAATATCTCCCAACGATTTTGTAGTGTTTTTTTTTCCTCTTGCTTGCTCAAGTTGCTCATAGTAATTATTATAATATTTATCAAATGAGCACCAGGAGTTATTATTGATTTGATCTCTTACAAATGTTGCATCTTTTCTAATATTGGGCTTCACAAGGAAGATGCCAAGTGGGTCGATTGCTTAACTTTGCATTTGGAGGCCTTAGACACTACCATATAAATCACAACAACAACAACAACAACAACAACAACAACAACAACAACAAAAAAAGGCCCACCTAGAGTTTTTGAAGACCAATTTGGTGAGGAAATGTACTAGGATAGTTGTGTAAAAATTGGAACAACATGTTGGCCTAAAGTCAGTGGGGAAATTAAACCCAGAATTAACAACCCCATTGCACGAAATGATATGGCTATAACCTGGAGAAAGACCAATAGAGAAAGAAGATAACGAAATTCAACACAAAAATGCCAAAAACTTGGACAAAACACATCAAAGCACTGAAACCCCCAAATTCAACCCCAAAACTGGGAAAAAAAACATGGGAACAGGTAGAAACATCAAACACCTAAAATAAATAGTTTGAGTAAAGGATGAACATGCACCCATACCAAAATATGCACACACCTATTTCAAGGCACAAAAACTGCAGACAACGTCGATACAAAAGCAAAAAACGACCAAAATCAAAATATGCTCAACCATAATATTGCACACACTGTTGCACACATTCGAACCCACAAAGTACCGTATCTCTATCCACACGTAGAACATCCAAAACCGTAGCTACCCGTAAACAAGCAGTAACAATGCTAGAGACCCAAAATTAACGACCCAACTGCACGAAATGAAATGGCTATAACCTGGAGAAAAACCAAGACATAAATAATATAACGAAATTCAAAATGTCAAAAACCTGGACAAAACACATCAAAGCACTTAAACCCCCAAATTCAACCCCAAAAATTGGAAAAAAAAAAAAAAAGGAACAGGTAGAAACATCAAACACCTAAAATGACGAAATTAAACCTCTAAACGGATTTTACCAAAAAAAAAACAAAAAAACTACGCATGTAATTCTGGCCACAATCCGGCAACCCAAAACCGTGAGCAGGTAGTAACAACACAAACGCCAAGACGCAAGAACAAAAAAAAAAAAAAAAAAAAAAAAAAAAAAAAAAAAAAAAAAAAAAAAAAAAAACAACGAAAAATCGCAAATAGGAGAAAAAAAATACCTCGACCAACACCCCGAACAGGTGGTCCCCGATGCTTGGATATACTACGGTCCCCACCGACGACCATTGCTACGTGGAGAAACACGATGGAATGACGAGTAAGCGACGCGAGAGCACGAACCACGTCGCCACACCAACCTACAAATGGAGACCAAATTTACCGGACGTGTGATACAGATAGACAGGGTAAATAGGTTAATTATTATGTAAAATACCACAAATACCCCATGCCCAAAAATACAAACTGATATAAGGAAATAAACCGTCAACAACCACAAAAAAATCGCAACCGCCTAACCCTCACATCCAACGGCCCCAACGAATTCACACATTTTTATTTTAAGGGGTGTTTTTACTTGAATATATATATATATATATATGTGTGTGTGTGTGTGTGTGTGTGTGTGTGTGTGTGTGTGAGAGAGAGAGAGAGAGAGAGAGAGAGAGGGAGGTTGACGCACCTTAAGAACACAAACCACACACTTAAGGTTTTAAAATGCTTCACTTTACGCTTCACACAACTGACGCACCTTAAGTTTCAACAACTACTCACATTGAGCACAAAACTCGCGCACATTAAATTTGACCTAGATGCAAAAATTATTAAATTGACATCGCATATTTTTTTTTTGGTAATCCTGGACGTTGATTTAAGCAAGATCAATGACTCAGATTTAACTGCACAACTGCACCTAGGCGCACCAACCACATTTGAACACACACACACACACACACACACACACACACACACATATATATATATATATATATATATATATATATGGAAAAAAACCGTATCCAATCATGAGAAAAACTAGAGTAATGACCACAAAAATTGATATATTTACAACAAAAATAATTTTTTATAATATTATATAATATTTCAATCATTTTAAAAAGTTATTAATAATCATTTAAAATATGTTACAATTTGTGCATCGCTGGATGAATCAATATTTCTTTATACGGATTAATTTTTTGAGTACTATTAACTCTTTTTTTTTTTTTTTTTTTTGAAGGTGAGTACTATTAACTCTATTACATATAATGTTTGTTTTATATTTTCTTTGTCTATTATAAGCTAAAGAGTTGATATCCCATCATTAGGATTTGAGCGTGTGACATTCTCTCAAAGAGAATTAGAAATAATATCTGAGCACAAGGTGCTTGACAGGAATCTAAGTATATAATCAGCCGAGCTTGCCTTGAAAAAGAAAAATAAATAAAAAGGCAATTAAAATTCTTTCCGAGTATTTTCAAAAAAAAATTCTTTTGAGTCAAGTTGGTTCCCACGTTTTTCTGAGTTTTAATCACTAGACGACCCCTTCAAATTCTCCCTTCACTCATCATCTCCATTTTCTGCGGGAAGCGCCGAGGAAAACATTCCACCTTTCCACTCTTCAATTCTTCTCTCTGCCTCCATCTCATCAACAATGGCTTCTTAACACATTAGCGTATAACAATTATTAGATAACGATGAATGTGTATACCGATGTTTGTAAATACCCTCTTTTTCATTAATTAATTCACCAGCGCAGCTTAGCTTCTTCTGTATATATTTCCTATCTGACATACATATATATATCCTCCACCATTAACCTTTGTTCTTGTGTGTTCAACGATTCATATGCATGCCATTTCTAGGTCTTTCTCCGACGATAGAATTTAGACTCGGATCAAATTAAACGGTCAATCCGGCCTCTGAGGAATTCTGTGAGGGGTTTGATTTGGTAAGATCGAGTAGAGAGATCAGAGATGAATTGTTTTTATTGTTTTTCGCCTCATCAAAAGAAGACTTGGAAGATGATAGGTAGCCGAAACAGACGGCCTGTTATTCACCGCCATAGAGATCCCTCTCCACGGCCATCGCGTTCACGAGCAGCTTCTCGCGGTAAGCTAGCCATGGAACTTCTATTCTTCATATGAAATATGTTAGATATAAATGTAGGCTAAAGTTATTTACCAGAAATCTAGTTGATTTTAAGCCATGATTGGTTGATATTCTTTTAGTTGTGTTGCTTCTTGAATGTAGACCTATAAAATAACATTAGTGTTTTGATTCATACTTGATTCAGAACCTAGACAGTGGATTGGTATTATTCTGAGCACTAACTTGTGTTATATAATGTATATTCTGTATGTCATTCAAATTAGGGAAAATGACACTTTTTCCTCCTTTGTTATATACTTATAGCACTTTTTCCCCCTAAATTATTTAAGTGGCAGTTTTTCTCCCTGATATATTAAATGGACATATTTACCCTTAAAATAAATATTTCATTTATTTTTCTTCTCCAACAAATTATAACCACGATTTGAAAAAATAAAATACATTAAGTGTTGAATTTAGAATATTTTAAAAATGAAAAAAAAAAATTTAAAAGAAAGTTTGAACCAACCGTTCAAAGTGGATCCAAAATCGTGAACCGACGGTTCAAAATAAAACTCAAACCGCGATTATATATACTTATATGTGAGAGTCAATATAAATGCGGAAAAAAAAACATACACTATTTGTAAATATTATAATTCTAATTTAAGCTATTGCTAGTAGTTGTTCCGATTTGAACCTTCGGTTCACGGTTCAGGATCCATTTTTTTCCAGTTCACGATTTTAATAAACAGAAACCCAAATGTTGGGTTATGTTATGAATCATAACCGAAATTTTTTAATTTGATTGCTATAGTGTTTGGTTCAGTTCGAACCGAACCGTGGTCATCCCTACGTATAAGCAATAATTTGTTGAAGAAGAGAAATAAATAAAATATTTGTTTTAAGGGTAGAAATGTCCATTTAATATTATCAGGGGGAAAAATCGCCACTTCTATAATAATTGAGGGGGCAAATGTGAATGCATGAATAACTCAGGGGAAAAAGTGCTATAAGTATATAACACGGGGGGAAAAAGTGTCATTTTCCCTTCAAATTATTTAATAAGTCTACTCAACTTGTACCACATAATTAAATTTGTAATATATATTATACGGGAAAATCCAACAAAATAGTGTTGTGTGGGGGTGTTAATTTGAGATTTGTTTGTGTTGGAGGTTCAAAAACTGTGGATGCAGAGAAGGTAAAGATGATTCAAAACGAAGGTGCAGTAGCTGAGAATTCGAATGCTGCAGATGGGGGCAACAAAAACATTGAAGCCCAAATATTCAGCTTCCGGGAACTAGCGGCTGCCACAAAGAATTTCCGGCAAGAATGTCTGCTTGGTGAAGGCGGATTTGGGCGGGTTTACAAGGGGCGCTTGGAGAAAACAGGCCAGGTGTATATAATATTCTCAAACTTTAATTTGTTTTCGATGAGTTTAATTTTCCACCCACAAGCTGCAGGTTTAATTAGATTGTTGCAGTGAAGCAACTTGAGCGTAATGGATTGCAAGGTAACAGAGAATTTCTTGTGGAATTGTTGATGCTCCGCCTTCTTCACCATCAGAATCTTGTAAACCTTATTGGATATTGTGCTGATGGAAATCAGAGACTTTTGGTTTATGAATTCATGGAATTGGGATCTCTTGAGGACCATCTTCTTGGTATTATTCATGTTTTTTTTTCCCCTTTAAATTATTTAGTTAGGTTTAAAGCTTTAATTGCTAGCTTTCATATATCTATCTTGAAACATGAATTTGGATCTCATGCATCAGACTCTTCCCGTGCGGATAGATCTAGACCATTGAATGAGTTCAGATCAACTATTCAAAATCAATAAAAAATTTGCACCAAGTGTGTTTCTGTTGTGCAATTAGTAGTGGTTTATGGTGCACTTAGTAGTGGTCTGTTGTGCACCACCGAATATTGGTTTGTGGTGCATACGGGAATGCTTGACGGTTATCACCGTCAAGCATATCTAAATGCATCAACATATCATTGACGTTATCAAAATGTCACCCCGTTTTCCCCCTTTTTATTAATTTTCAACCGTTTATCTGAGTTCATCCAATTATCCAGATCTATCCCGCTAGTCCACACGGGAAGAGGCTACTGCACCAGAACTAGACCCCTTCCAACATTATTATATTCACTTTATACAACTGCACCAACTGATAGAATGAATCAGATTTAATTCCAATCAAAGCTTTTATTAATTTCTCTTGGATCTATCAGATATTCCACCAAATAAAGCTCCATTAGAGTGGTGGAAAAGGATGAAAATCGCATTACATGCAGCCAAAGGTTTAGAGTATTTACACGATAAGGCGAACCCGCCTGTGATCTACCGTGACCTCAAGTCCTCAAACATTTTAATAGATGAGGAGTACAATGCAAAGCTGTCTGATTTTGGATTAGCCAAGCTTGGGCCTGTGGGAGACAGGAGTCATGTATCTTCTAGAGTAATGGGGACTTATGGTTATTGTGCTCCTGAGTATCAAAGAACTGGCCAATTAACTGTCAAATCTGATGTTTATAGCTATGGTGTTGTGCTACTGGAGCTAATCACGGGAAAGAGAGCCATCATGTCAACATTTGGTGCTGACGAAATGCTAGTTAAATGGGTAAGTAACTTTATTTAATTAGTAATAACCCCCCTAGCTGGAATTGGCCCTAATTCCCCCTTCCAGCACCTTCCAGTCCCGTTGATATCACTTGTTAGATCAAGTGCTTATCACTAACATTATCACTAACACTAAGCCAAAAGTTATAGCTAGTAGAGAAAACGCAACTTTATTTCTTTATAGACTGCCATTACATTTTCGAGACACAGGATGCTAGCCTTGACTCTTTATTGGCCTCTGCCCGACAATCCTTCTAGTCCCCAAAGGATGGACTTGGATGGGCAAATTATACCATGGACCATGGTTTACTTTGCATTGTAGACCCTGGTCTAAAAATAACTTTTAGATTCTGTATCTATAGTTGACACATTTTGTACTTGCAGTTGATAGTTTTTGTACCTGTAGCTATCATATTATGTGTCAGCAATTATCAAGTCAGATTATGTATCTATAGTGGATAGTTTTTGTACTTGTAGCTATCATATTATGTGTCAGCAATTATCAAGTCAGATTATGTATCTATAGTGGATAGTTTTTGTACTTGTAGCTATCATATTATGTGTCAGCAATTATCAAGTTATTTGTTTACATGTACAGAAACTGTTAACGGTAAGTACAAAATGTGTTAACTGAAGGTACATAATTTTTGTATCAGGATTCACAATGCAATATGAACCCTGGTCCATGGTATAACAATTGCCTTGGATGGCTCTGCCCAACCCCTACCAATATAACATAACAATACATAACATGCGTATTGTATTGTATTGTATTGTATTGTATTTTGTCTTTTGGCAGGCTCTTCCTCTAATCAAAGATCCAAATAGGCTTACACAAGTGGCTGATCCACTTCTTCAAGGCAACTTTCCAAAGAAAGGTTTAACCCATGCAGTTGCTGTGGCAGAAATGTGCGTGCATGAAGATCCAACTTTGAGGCCTATGATCAGTGATGTGGTCACAGCTCTCAGCTATCTTTTGGTTGAACCAGAGGTGGCCTCTGGCTTGTGAACCCTCCCCTGCTGCTAAATCTCCGGCCATCCCAGGCCAAAGCCCAACCCGACCCCCCCGAGTTGCCCAATCAAAATCAAGAGCCCCGGAGAGTAGTTTGTTGGGAATAATTCAAAGAGAAAAGAGAAAATAGAATGAGTGGCTATAAATTGTTGTTTAATTTTTGAGGCCAGCACTAACTGCCCTATGATTGTGGCCTGCGCCACTCATGTTTGTTTGTGTGGCTGGGATGGAGGGGGCTGCTTACTATATATAGCAGCTCCCAACATCATTTTTAGAACACACTCAACATTTATAGTTTCTTCCTTCTTTCTCGTGTGATATATATAATATATATATTAATCCCCACACGAGAAAGAAGGAAGAAGCTATAAATGCCTAGTATGTTCTAAAAAAGATGTTGGAAGCTGCTATATATAGTAAGCAGCCCCCTCCATCCCAGCCACACAAACAAACATGAGTGGCGCAGGCCACAATCATAGAGCAATTAGTGCTGGCCTAAAAAATTAAACAACAATTTATAGCCCCTCATTCTATTTTCTCATTTCTCTTTGAATTATTCCCAACATAGTTGAATGGCTCCCCGGGGTTCAAACTCAAGAACTCTCATCTCATGATTCCTAGCTTAATGTAGCTAGTTTGGTTTGCATGTATGGAACTAACTCAACAGCTTACTTGTTTGTATGCCTTTGGTCATAGATAGGTATCAAAGTGCTGAAATCGAGCGCACTGTGTGTGTATATATTATAGTCTAGTCTAGTCTAGATTGATAAATTCTGTGCTCACCTCATTTCTATATATGAAGTATAAACTTCATATCCAAATCCAACATCTGTATATTTCATTTTGCAAATGGCTTATTGTTAGGGTATTAGGCATGTCAATTTCAACCTAGCCAGGGGGTATCCACCTTGTATGGATTGAAATTTTTTTTTAGGATGATAGCGGGTGATGAGTTTTAAAAAATTAAACTTGTAGTGGATCGGGTTAGATGCGATTTTATATACAAAATTTGTATGGATTTTTTTTTTTTTTTTAATTTCAAATTTTATTTTGTTCTGTATTTGATTTCAAATTTTATTTTATTTCGCAGATTAATTCAAATGATAATTTTAATATGGTTTTAATTGCTTGAATTAAATTTGCGAAATTATATTTTATAAAATCAAAAAATTATTTTGTTATTTAAATTTATTTTTATTGAAAATTGAACTTAGAAATTATAATAATAATCTTTCAAAAAAGAAATTATAATTATAAAATTAAAATGATTAATTCTAAGAAAGTAAATAAAATAATATGTGATGTGTAGGAGTATGACTTGCAAAAAAAGAGACAAAAAGGACAAATATTGGAGAGAAAACATCGAAGAGATTATATGGTGGTGTGGATGAGTTGGACTTACAAAATGTGGAGATAAGGGTTGTGGATGCCCTAACTCTACTTAGTATGTTTATTTGAAAAAAAAAAAAAAAAACTAAACAATTTAGTTATTATCTTTAAATAAATGTTTTTATTATTTTATATTTTGTTATGAAATGAAAGGAATTGCAAGCAACAAGAAGAAGAGGAATCACAGAGAATATAGAGATAGATAGAACAAGAGGAAAAATTGCAGAGAGAATGGAGAGAAGAAGGGATTTCTTATTCATATCATCTCAACATATGAAACATATGAGTTTATATATAGGACACTTTACCATTTATTTATACAGGAATATAATAATTGTGATAATGGTCACACATAAATAAAATATTCATAACATATTTAGTATAACTAGTGAATTTTATTATTTAGTGTGTAAATAATTTTTTGAGTTGGATTGGATAGTCTCTCTAAAGTCTAAACACCTATCTTTTTCACCATATACAATATATAAGGAAAATGTTATGTAGATCAAATTTTGTATAAATCATGACACACATTATATAACTTAATTAAATCATTTTTTTTACATTATTTCAATCAAATCCTGTTATGTCAAATGCAATTTAAATTAAATTAGATTAATCTAGCATGATCCATTAAACAAACATGTTTCCTCGCGTATAAACTTAGAAAAAGATAGAGAATGGAGCTAGAAAGAAAATAAAATAGGATAATAATTGAGAAGCTTTACACCCCTCCCCACCTCCTCAAATCATGATACTTTTATTTTTATTTTTATTTTTATTTTTATTTTTATTTTTAGTACTAATGACCCTATTACAATGTGGTATTGTCTGTCACCTCCTATTTGAGAAAGTCACATGAGTACACTATTGAGCTACAAGCTACTTAAAAAATAAAATGTAATCATGGTACTTAGGGTGTGTTTGGAAACCTGAAAAATGAGTTCTGGAAATCATTTTCCAAGTTTTCATTTTTTGGATGTGCTTGGAAAATCAAGTCAACGGAAATCATTTTCCGTTGACTTTGGAAAATAGGCTTGTTTTGGAGGAAAATGATTTCTCCTTTTTTTGGGGGAAGTCATTTTCCAACTTTTACACCAACATCACACCACCACCAACATCATCAACACCATACCACCATCACCACCATCACACCACCACCGCAACCACACCACCAAGACCATACCACCGCAACCACTACAACCACCAACACCATCAACACCATACCACCACCATCACTACCGCTGCCACCACCACCACCACCATACCACCGTAACCATCATCGCCGCCACCAACACCACCATACCACCATCACTACCACCACCGTCGCCGCCACTACCACCACCATACCACCGCAACCACCGTCACCGCCACCACCACCACCACTACCACCATCGCCGTCGCCGCCACCACCACCACCATACCACTGCCACCACACCACCGCCACCACACCACCACCATCACACCACTGCCACTACCACCACCATACCACCGCAACCACCGTCGTCGCCACCACCACCATACCACCGCAACCACCGTCGCTGCCACCACCACCACATACCACCGACGCCGCCACCACCACCACCATACCACTGCCGCCGCCACCACCACCATCACACCACCGCCGCCGCCACTACCACCACCATACCACCGCAACCACTGTCGTCGCCACCACCACCACCATCACACCACCACCACCATCACACCACCGCCGCCGCCACCACCATCATACCACCGCCACCACACCACCACCATCACACCACCGCCGCCGCCACTACCACCACCATACCACCGCAACCACCGCCACCACCACCACCATCACACCAGGCCACCGACGCCGCCACCACCATGACCATATCACCGCAACCACCGCCGCCACCACCACCACCACCATACCATCGCAACCACCGTCGCCGCCACCACCACCACCGTACCACCGCCACCACACCATCACCACCACCACCACTGCTACCACCGTCATACCACCACCAGTACCATAATATTTTTGATATATTATTAGTTATTTTTTATTATATTTAAAATTATTATTATATTATTATACATGTTGTAATATTCTAAATAAAATAATTAAAATGTTTAATTATACAATTCTATTCATTTTCCAGAAAATGAACCAAACACACAAAAACAGTTTTCCAGAATGCAACCAAACACTGGAAAGAAAAATGTTTTCCGAAAAATGACTCATTTTCCAGAAGTCATTTTCCTGCTTTCCAAACGGACCCTTAATTACCAACAAATTAAAGAAATAATATAGCATATATTTGTGTTGATGGTTTATGTGAAGGGAGGTTGAGCATGGCATGTGACGTCACAACAAGTTGTTGGAAAAATTAACTTAAATGCTATTTAAAGTGATCATTTTATGGTATAATTTTTAATAGAGTCCACTTCTAATTTATGTCGGGTTGAAATGAATTCAAAGTTTCTTAAGTGGGATATTTAATTTAATATATTATGTACACAAAATGGATAATGAGTAAATGAGAAATTGATTTTCAAAATGTACCTATTTGTGTTGGGAAAATGAAGTTGGGTAGGCTTTGAATGTCCCTTTGTCCATATTCAAAAAGAGATGTGAGTTTGCACTAGTATATATACAATTTTTTTTTAATAAAAAATTTAAATTGTATAGCATAAACTTTCTTTCGTGCATATGTAAATCAAATCAAATCCCAAAATTAACTCAAAATTTGAACCCTGACTTATTCTCTAATACAAAACAAAGCATTATCCAATACAAACAAAGCACAAGATGCGGCCGCAGATGAACAAATTGACACAATTCACACCTAACATCATGATATGCTTTTTAGGGGTTTTGACTGAAATAGGACATTGAGTAAATACTCAAAAATGATTCATTGACTATAACATAATTTATAAATAAGTTCTCGACTACTATCAAGTTTTACAAATTAAGTCTTTAACTATTTGATTTTTACTCATTCACAACGTAACTATTTGATTTTTACTCAATAAGATCATCAACTTTTCAATTCTTACTCAATAAGGTACTCAAAAAAAGATTGATTTGTAAATTATTGAGTAAGAATTGAAAAATTGAGAACTTGATTGGTAAAACTAATAGTCGATGACTAATTTGTGAATTATGACATAGTTGAAGAATCATGTTGGGTATTTACTCTTTTTTTATACAAGTGAACAAGAATGAGACACTTTTCAATCTTGAACAACCCTAGAAAAAACTATATTGAGATTTGCATTTATGGTAAAAAAAAAAATGCAATATCATATAGAGTTTTGTTTGTTTTTTCTTTTAAGAAAAAAAAAATCGCGTTAAATACATAAAACGCAAGTCACATTTGCATGTGACAAAATGTGTGTGTGTGTCAAACGCAAGTGAGACTTGCGTTTGTGTTGTGTATTCTCGTATAACATAAACGCAAGTCAGACTTGCGTTTGTAGTACAAAATACAACAAACGGAAGTGGGGCTTGTGTTTGTTAAAAAAATATCACCAAGTTATATCCAAAATCTTTAAAGTGTATCTTTCATAGTTATTTTCATGTGCAAAAGGGGTACATATATGACTCTCCTGAGCTGAGCTTGGTAACTACCTTGTATCCATCAATGTTACTTTTCATGAAGACATTCCTTTGTCTCCAGATGTTATCCGTTAGGGGGTGGCGGATGGCATCTTGATGTATATTGTCACATCCTCTATTCCTACTCTTGTTGTCATACATGTTAAAAGCAATTAAAAGGAACGTCTTCAGAATGGTAAAAGGCAAATCAGATCACTCCATGTTTTAAAAGTAGTCTAATACATACATCATTTGATTAGTGATTTCATCTCTCAAATCATTTATTCATAGTCAATTTCAAACAAAATATTCAACTATTAATGATTTTTTTTAGGATGGAGGAGATCATTTTAAAAATTAATATAATTATTACCCATGAATATTTGACACATAATTCTTTCAAGAGTAAATATCAAAAATGGTCCTCGACTATAGCTAAATTCACAAATTGGTCCTTGACTTTCAATTTCAACCAATTAAGTCCTTAACTTTGTAATTTTAACACAATTTGGTCCTCTGTCTATTTGACCGTTTGTTGACTGTGATTTTTGATGATATATATGTAATTTCATGGTCCATCGCGGATTTTTTAAGGTTCCCGTTGCATTTCCAGACCGCACTGTTACATTCGAATCCATTGCCGAAAGCAATCTACCAAATCCGATTGCCTTTCTTCATCCTCCCTTTGGATTCAATGTAGTTGAGTTCGTACCGGAGCGAAGAAGACGACGTGTTTCCGAACCGGGGTAACGTCATCCTGGAGGCCTCCATGTGCTCCGACGAGAGCTGAAGATTCTTCTGGAGATCGTCGATCACGGTCAACAAACGGTCAAATAGATGGAGGACCAAATCGTGTCAAAATTGCAAAGTTAAGGACTTAATTGATTGAAATTGAAAGTCAATGACCAATTTATGAATTTAGCTATAGTCGATAGACCATTTTAGGTATTTACTCTTCTTTCAAAACAAACTTTACCCAAAAAAAAAAAAAAAAAAAAAAAAAAAAAAAAAACCACCGTTAATCCGTTAGTCGCACTCCCCCACTTCTTGGATAGTTGGCCAGAGAGGATTAACGCGTCCCGCACGTGCTACAATTGACAGATCCAGTCTTCCAGGATCCCCGTCTCCTTCTTCTCTGCGAGAAACCCGTTTCGGACCTCCAAATCTCCAGATTCCCCTCAGCGCTACCGCGTGGATTAGATTCTCCGCTTCGGTTCGCTCTTTCTCGTAATCTTCTTGTACGTTGTTTCCACAATATTTGCTACTGTCATTCAAACTTTCCTTCTTAACTGGTTGTTTAAAAATGCATTGAGTTGAAAAATTTGACCATAGAGGAATGAAAGAACAAAATTGGAGATGGGTTTTAGGTTTGGTATACATATTTTTAGTTGCATCCATATGGATTGCCGCTAGTTTTGTTGTTCAGTCAGTTGTAGATGCGGGCGTTTCCCCATTTCTCATAACATACATTTGTAATTCATTATTCGTGGTATATATTCCCCTAGTTGAAATTGGACGGTATTTAGAGGATAAGTATGGGAGTGTTTTGTTTTGGCGAAAGAGAGAGAGTTGTAGTTTGCAAGAATTGAGAGAATCTGAGGAGGTTATTCTTCTAGGGGATGATAACTCGGGTTTCCATTTCCAAGCTGATGCTTCAAGTCCAAGTGGTGGTGGTGTTGCAGAAGGGAAGGAAACAAATATAGTTGGTTCAAGGAAAGATGTGATTAATGAATGTGCTGCTGATATTGGCCTTGATTCGAAAGGGCGTTGGACGAGGATTAGAGTTGCAAAAGTTAGCCTTTTGATTTGCCCGTTCTGGTTCTTGGCACAGCTCACTTTTAACCTCTCACTCAAGTACACAACAGTTACAGTAAGCATTTATGATGATGCATAGATTCTTTCCTCGTTTTTTGGGGTGGTGGGAAAAACCCGCAGTCACTACCCGATGGTGTGCACTGGGTAAACTAGCCTAGGTTACCCATAGCTGACTGGATGGTATGCACGGGGTAAATCCCACCTTGTGACCTTAATCGACAAAGGACCACCAGGAGGTAAATCAACTTAGGTCACCCATAGCTGACTGCTTCAAACCTATAAGGCCAATAGGCCTCTCCTGTTGGGAGTTGAACTTGTAACCTTGTGGTTACAATGTCAACCGCCTGAGCAACTTGGCTGGGGTTGCCCCCTAGATTTTTTCCTCTTTACTTGAAGAATTTGTTGATTTAGTTATAAACATTGTTTCCATTTGTGTGCAGTCCAACACCATCTTGAGTACTGCATCCAGCTTGTTCACCTTTCTGGTTTCTGTTGTGTTCTTGGGAGAAAAGTTTACATGGGTGAAGCTGCTTAGTGTTCTGCTTTGTATGGGTGGAACAATCATTGTCAGCTTGGGTGACTCAAAATCTGGAATATCTGCGGTTGCTTCAAACCCTATTGTTGGAGACATTCTTGCTCTTCTTTCGTCAGCCTTGTATGCTGTGTATATAACTCTTATTCGTAAAAAGCTGCCTGATGATGATGATGAGAAAAGTGGTCAAGTCAGTATGGCACAGTTTCTCGGTTTTTTAGGTTTTTTCAACCTCCTGATATTCTTTCCAGTGATCCTTGTACTTAACTTTGCCAAGCTGGAGTTATTCACCGCACTTACCTGGAAGCAGCTTGGTCTCATTACTGGTAAAGGTATGTTTGGATTAGAATTTACCTGTCCTACTTGGAGTTTGATTTATTTCTTAACTGTTTTCCTTGGTCTCACCTAATAATCTGCTGTTGCATTTCATGAATGTTACTAAATTTGTTAAAAAATGTGTTGTTCGTTGCCCCATGAAGCGTTTGTTTACTCCTAATAAAAACTTTCATACTTTTAGTCTTTGTCCTAGCTTCAACTTTTCAGAGTAAACAAGCTCCAAAAAAGGTAGGCCAAACAAGCACTAGTTAGTGGACACTAATTGCAGCTAGAACTAGAAAGACTCTAAAAAAATAGGGATAAAACATAGGGATAAACAAGTTGCCCTAGCTTCAACTTGCAATTGCACGTTTCTATTTGCTTTAATTTTAGGTTAGTTGCAAATCAATGATTATTGTCTTGCCCTACCAACTGTGTCCATTTCTTTCATGTCTGATTGTATGATGATGCTGAAGTCTAGAGCCTATAATTTATCTTAAATTTGATTTCTTAAAATCATAAATTAGGCCCATCATCATATTAACAGATTCCTTGTCATAAAATGTACATTTTCGTTGATGTCTTGTTTTGCTTAGAGGAGGAACTTATCGCCCCTCAAATTGATTTTTAACATACATATTTAGGGTGTGTTTGGTTCGAACATGGGAATCGCAATCCGAATCCAAATCAAATACTTGATAATTGGAATGAGTTTTGGTGAATGTATTTTGCAAGTTTGGTAGTAGGGTGGAATTGGAATGATTACCAATATTGTTTGGTTATGTATAACCCGATAATCGGAATAAAGGTTTTAAAAATACAAAAACAAAAAATCAAGGCAATTGATCTTAAAAGTGGTAATGGAGTGAGGAAGTCGATGAAGTGATGAGAGATGAGTGAGGAGGCAATGAAATGAAGAGGGATAATGTTAATTAATGGAATGATACCTAATTTAAATTAGGTAATAAGTTTTGTAATTATAAGAGTAATCAAATCCTATACTTGTGTTTTAAAAAGTTCTCAACCAATCATTCTCATTCCTTGTGTCTAACCCCATGAACCAAACACACCCTTAATACTTTGTAATTTTGATTCCTGGGACAAAACATGGGGCAGGAGTATATTTTGGTGGTATGAAATACTTCATTGCGTTAATATTTTAATCTGATTTCTTTATCATTAAATGGATGCTAAAGATTGGTGGCTGTTTAATAGTCCTGTTTGTTTCCATGGAACAAATTTGAGAAGTTGTCTTGACTAAAAATAATGTTAGGAGCATAGATGATTGAAAGAGAATGCAGGGAAAGCAAGGACACAAGATTTTTGTTTATGTGGGAAAGTTGTGTGTAGAATGTGAGAAAGGATTACCACATAGCTACGCTACTATTATTGTCTTCCATCGGTTTTACAATTTTGTTGGTATGAGTTGGCATCGGGATTTTATTTAGGCATGACTACGGTTCGGTTCGAACCGGACGGCTCGAACCGAACCGTGCACTGTTGAACTGGAACCGGAACCGAACCGTCCGGGCATCTCCAAGTCTTTGGTTTTGTTCACATGCTGCAACACTATTTGTGCCTTCCCCGCACCCTTTTCTTCTTGGTCTGACATTTTTTAAGTTTGGATTCCACGATCAGGGCTGCTGGACAACGTGTTGAGTGATTACCTGTGGGCGAAAGCGATCCTTTTGACAACTACTACGGTGGCAACAGCAGGCCTCACAATTCAGGTTCCGTTGGCTGCCATTGTGGACACGCTTACTGGGAATTCACCTGCTCTGCCAGATTGCATTGGAGCTGCTGCTGTAATGCTTGGTTTTGCAGGCATTAATATGCCTTCAAATGCATGTTCTAAATCTGAAGAAGTAGTAGGCATCGAACTAGAAGATGGAAATTCACAGCCCACCCATCAAGACCATGGCACATCTAACCAAGTTATGAATTGATTGGGGGGGATATCAGATATGCTATGCTAAACCAATTTTTGTTTTAATTGAGGTCAAGTAAAAGTAATAGTCTCTCAGAAAAGAAAATGGAACACGGAATAGTTTACACTACTTTTTGTTATTATTCTTTATTATTTTTTTTGAAAGGAGCCGGTAAAGGCATATATTAGAGAAAAGTTGTAATAGCGTCAGGAGGAATAGACTCTCAGTACATAGCAGAAGATTGAGTAAAAGCCAAAACAGCTAATGTATGAGCTATCAAATTAGACAATCTAGGGATATAGCTGACTACACAATAATCAAATAAAGAAATAATAGATATGCAGTTGTCAATGACATAGCTGATGTAAGATCGAATTGACCTCGTAGATGAGGATAAGCAGTTTTGTAGACTTGAGCAATCCGTAAGCAACTTGATCATAAGTTCCCCTCGATCTTTTAACTAAGAAAGCACCTCCTTGCATGCAAAAGTCTTGTCCATAAGTGGTGAAGAACAAGGTTGCAATACCGCGTTAAAGGCCGCCACATAGTCCCCATTAGCATCAAATAAGACCGCACCCACCGTAGCTTTATTGGATGGCAAGTGGAGTCCAGCATCAAAGCGGAACGACCGTCGATGCGTCGCACCTCCGGAAGCAACCTGCTGTGGAACGGGAGCATTCTCAGCATGCAAATGCATGGCGTGGCGGACTGGACAGAGACAGCAAGAACCGCGACAGTGGTTGTCGAAGCAACGGCTGCATTACTTGCGACAGTCGGGTGGGCATCACGCCAGGCGTATAGGGCTGCCGTGGCTTTGGCCACGACCTTCTTCGGAGGGGGTAGACATGCGTCCCAAACAGCACCGTTCCTAGCCTTCCAAATATGATAAAGGATAGCAGAAGTGAGGAATAATTGATTAATGTCTAGAGTATTCAACACTTCTTTAAACCAAATATGAAAAACATTTGTGACAATGGAAGGGATTGGAAGGTGGGATTCACTCCAAATGGCCTTTGCAAAATCACACACCACTAATGAGTGCATAGTGTCCTCACATGAGATGCCACACATGGCACATAGAGGATCAACTTCCATCCTCTTTATAAATTCTTGGTGGTGGGGAGGATATCTTTCAAAGCCCTCCATAAAAAGGTTTTCCATTTAAGTAAGTTCTTGGTGGTGGGGAGATAATTAGGATTGGCATCAGATGAAACACCAAGTTAGAGAAATAGTTCCAATACTAGTACAATTCAATGCAACCAAAAGTCATTCATGACTATTCTGCAATCAGATTTTACCTTATTTTTTTTTTATTACAAGGAAGGGGGACACCCATACAAACTACGCCTACAACAAGGCTCGAAACCTAGACCTCCCACATAGGGGAGCAATCTGATACCAGTGGACCATAAACCACTTGGTAAATTTTCAATTATTAGTTATCATTGTATTACCTCCCTCAATGTATAGAACAAGAACGAACTCGCCCACCAACCAAAAAAAAAAAACAAAAACATTTAATATTTTAAAAGAAAAAGAATTAAATTAACCACCAAAAGTTAAGACATTTAATTTTAAAAAATATAATTAGATTCTTCAATTGTCTAAAATTTTGCAATTTAATCAAATTTAACATGTTTCTTAGGTCACTGCTACCGCGGCGGTCATTCTATTAAAAAATTATTATTTTTAAATTTATTTTAATAATTCTAAATAAAATAAAACCAAAAAATTCCGGCCACAATAAGGGATTTTTCCATTTTTTAAATATTTTATTTAAAATTATTAAAATAAATTAAAAAATAATATATATTTAATAAATTAAACAAATAATATTCTTTTTAATAAAATGATCGCCGCATCAAGGAATCTACCCACTTTGGACATAATTCCCGCACTACCGCCGCCGAGGTTCAAACCTTGGTCTCTTCTCCCAAATACTACCCACTAAACCATTGAGCTAAGCCTGTGCAGGTTAAATAGGTAATTCTAAATTTACAAATGCAAGATAATATAGTCAAGATTGATTATAATTGTCAATAAAATAATTGTATAGGTATGGTTGAAACCAAATACGGGACATAAGGGAGAACAAATAAAAATTAGGGCATAAAATATTAAATATATACTAATATTGTTTGAGGAGATTCTGACATTAGGATTTGTGGTTAAGTTCTATTAAGACTTTAATATTAGAATTAGATTAATGGTGTAGTTATAATTCTATATTAGACTTTAATATTAGAATTAGACTAACGGTGAATTAACGGAAAAGTTAAATGGATAATCATATAATTAAGGATAAATTAGAAAATCTTAAAAGAAAAAAAAATTAAAACCTGAACAATATGAACCATTCATTTGATTTAATAATTTGGCGGTCATTTTTTCTACCCAATGTTAATAATTAAATAAATTCGCTGGTCAAATCTGCTAGTATAATCCGCTAACGCTAACCGCTAACTGCTGATTGTCAAACAAGGACATTGCGAGGTAGTTCTCACTTCAATTTGTTGTGTGATTTGAATACTCTCTTTGTCACAAAATCTCTCAAGTAGTTAATATGGTTGGCTTTATTAATTATATTTTTTTTAATTTTTTTATGGTATTAATAAAATACTTGGTAAGTAAATATATAGCATTATTTTGTATTATAACTTTGATATTTAAGTAGAAAAATAGTGCACAAAAAAGATAATAGATAATGTAGTAAATATAATCAATTGATGAATTTTAATGTAAAAATTTTTACATTTGAGAAAAATAAAGACAATATAACTAATGAAAATATTTCTTTTAATTAATTTATTGATAATTAATAATTTTTTTTTTCACTGAATAAAGACATTGTAATGATAATGTAGCGAATATAATCAATTAATAAATTTGAATATAAATAATTTTTACATTTGAGAAAAATAAATACAATATAACTAATGAAAATATTTCTTTTAATTAATATATTGATAATTAATATTTTTTTTTTCACTGAATAAAGACATTGTAAGGATAATGTAGCGAATATAATCAATTAATAAATTTGAATATAAAGGCTCTGTTTGGCAAACCTAGCTGAAAAGCTATAAGCTAGGAGCTGATAGCTGAAAAGGAGCTGAAAGCTGAAAAGCTATAAGCTCGGAGCTGAAAATTGAAGAACTGTTAAGCTAGCTGTTATGATTAAAAGTGTTTGGTAAAACTAGCTTTTTGATAAGCTGATAAATATAAAAAGACTAAAAAGGACATCTTCATATAATTTAAATTATTTTGTTTACATATTAAAATTTGACATTTTGTCTTTAAAAAATTAATATTCTGAAATAAAACTATTAGCATAATCATGATCTAGCATCCCATAATGATGTAGCAATATTGTTGCGAATCTCCTTCATCTCAGTAGAGGTCTGGCTTAAATTTTCGTTGATGGAGATATTACTACTTGAATCTTGAAGTTCATCGGGCGGTATGTAATCTGGATGCTGCTCAAACACATTAAACATCATGTCATCTTGTGAATTCTTCCGAATATAATTATGGAGTGCAAAGGTGGCCATAATAACATCAATTTGGGTCTCCACACTAAATTGTGGCATATTAGCAAGTATCTTCCATCTCTTCTTTAATACTCCAAACGACCTCTCAATACAACTTCGAAGAGAAGAATGTGCACGATTGAATGCTTCTTGAGCATTTGTTGGCGGCTCATGTTCAAATTGAGATTGATGATATCTTATTCTTGGATACGGTACCAAATATCCTTGTTTATCTGGATATCCTTTATCCACCAAATAATATCTTCCTAAAAAAAATATAACACTAAACTTTTATAATGGATAAAATTATATGATTTTAGAGTTAAAAAATACGAATATGATACCTTGTGGCGGCTTGGGAAAGTTCATTGATGGTGTATTAATTGCATGAAGAAATACACGTGTATCATGTGCTGATCCTTCCCATCCAACAGATATAAAAGTGAAACACATATCAAAGTTACACGCTGCCATAACATTGAAAGTAGGAATTCCTTTTCTCCCTCTATATCGCAATTGATCAACCTCAGGGATGCACGCTGCTATATGAGTACCATCAATACATCCAATACAATCCTATTCATCATATATATTAGATAATCAATCTTAAAATAATAATAATAATAATAATAATAATAATAATAATAATAATAATAATAAAAGTGAAATCATTAAATGGTCACATTTTACCTTGAAATATGGCATGTATCGTGCATCATTAGTAATGTAAGACGGTATAGATTGAAATGTAGGATCATCTGGTCTTATGATATCATGTGCAAGGCCTTTGTATCCGCTATTCCGACCACTAATTGCTTCCAAAACCTCATGAAATGCTCTACTTATTGTTTCACCGGAACGTTGAAATCGTTCACCAACATCTCTATTTGAAGCACCCATAGCAAGTGTGTATATAAATATACCAACTTTCTCCACATATGACATATTCCTAGTAGATTGTAATCCATATTTTGAATATAAGTCTTCACATAATTGCTTAAACAAATCGGAGTCCATTCTAAATGCATTTACACATCGAATAGGATGTCCATTCAACACTTCTTTCATCCATTCTTGTCCTCTAAAAAGTGAAGTCATACAAGGTTCTTTATAAATATATTTATAGTAATATGTTTTGGTTAAAGCAATTGTGGCATACGATGTTATAATTGCACAAAGTGCTTGCTTCCTTTTTTTTCTTTTCCGCTCCAACTCCATGATGTACCTAATAAATATAAAATAATGAAACCAATATATTTTAATAAAATATAAAGTAAGAACATATATTTCAATATATATAAAGTAAAACAAAATGAGCATTGAAATTATATATATAAAGTAGTACAAGTTTTAATGTTCAAACACATAAATGTCAAATTGAAATTACAACCAAACATATTGAATAAAATGAGTATTCACTTGTTTGTATCATGCATATACTTCAACCAAGCTTTCCTAGAGGAGTCATCCTTAATATTGAAAAAAATTTCCCGATTCAAATCATCCTTAAGCAAGGTAAGAGAAAAACACCACAAATCTCCACCCTTTTCCATAATACCATCACTAACCATGCGGTTAACAACACTTATTGCTGCAGCAAGACTAAAACTTGTACTACTTTGAGTATTCATAGTACTATCAGATTGTAAAATGTCCAATGCTCGATTTGAATTTGAAATCAAACTCTCTAATTGATTAGAAAGTTTAGCTGCTCCTCCTTATTGTCTCCTCTTACGTTTCATTTGAGTGGGTTTAACACCAAATATTTTGAGTGGGGTTATTACCTTGAGATTGTCTAGGTACTTGACTGCCACTAACATCATGCTGACTACCACTAGAACGGTTCACCTCACTCATAAAATTATTCCAAAATGAAGACTCATCAACCTCCAAATCCCGCAATTGAGAAGAATGTTGGTTATCCTGAGAATATAACACATCTTCAAATCCTTGCCTAGTCCTATTCTCTTCTTCACTTTCTATATTTTCTTCCTCAATATCCACTGGTTGCACTAATTGAGGATCCATAGTGGGTGCAACACAACCTTCACCATTTGCATAGCTATCTTCAAATAACTTAGACCACAAATCTTCCATTGCAGTATCAATGGATTTATTACGAAATTTTTTATAGTCTGAGTTCTCCTACAAAAGAAATCAAAAAAGAATAAGTTTACAATCAACACCAAAATATTAGTATGTTTTAATCTTAAAAATCTATAATACAAACCTTGATTTTTTTCTCCCACCACTCATCGGAGCCACTAATCTTATTTGTACTAGGATCCCACCCTAAACCGGTTTCACCACGTTTCAGATGCTTCCAAGTTCTCCATTCTTTTTTCATAGCATCCAACTTATTCTTTAAACTTCGATGTGCAATTTTCCGTTTGGCGGTAGCTTCAAATTCTTCTTTAATCTCCTTCCATTTCATTAACCCACGTCCATGCTTTCGAATATATTTGATACAAATCTCACAAAAAAGCATCACGTTCTCGTTGGTCCACTTAAAATTCTCTCCATCCAAGTTGTCATTGGTTGAAGCCATATTGCTAATTTAGAAAGAACAACAACAACAACAATAATAATAATAATAATAATAATAATAATAATAATAATAATAATAATAATAATAAGCTAAAGTAGTAATTTAATGATCCTAAACAAATCAAAATGAATGTGCAAAATGAACACTGTAATTGGCAATTAAAATCAAATAATACTACTTAATATGTTTTTACTCCCAATACTACTTGAGCTTGGGTTTAAAATGAACACTGTAATTGGCAGTAATGCTAATAGGATACCATGATCAGTGTAATCAAACATTGAGCTTCTTTAATGATCATGTTTTTACATGGTATGCTAATAGGATACCATGCTAATAATAAAATCAAATAATAGGGAGTTGCAGAGAACATAATTTTTGAGAAATCAACCCTCCATATAGGCATCCACAAAGAATTAGTTTTTGACACTTTATTCCGACTAGGCACATTGGCCGAAACATGATCATTAGACCCCTTTGAGATACCAACATTAGAAGCAGCCAAATGAACTGATGCACTATTCACATGGACAGTAACACTTAGGCATCTAAGGTTTAAATTAATCCCAGAATTATGCAAACTTAAAAGAAGTAGCACCACAACTAGCATTATTAAAAGCATTGTGCACATTCAAAGAAGTAGAAATATTATTTACTCTCTATGCATTAGAACCATGAATACCGTTAGTTCAGACAATAACACAAATAGCTAGCAGACCTATGGCTTTGCATCATGCCGTTAGTTCAGACAATAACACTAAACAGTTTTATGGTCAAACAGTCCATCCACTTAAGAAGAACAAGACACACAAAATCATTATTTAGGATGTCCAGCCAAACATATACATACCTGCGGATTGATGCTATGGCTAATGGACTATTGCGGACTGCGGAGTGCGATGGATGATGCTCCTGCGGAGTGAAAATGGGGGATGGCGATGGATGATTCTTCTGCGGAGTGCAAATGGGGGATGGCGATGCTTCTGCGGAAGGCAAATGGGGGATGGCGAACCTTATGCGGAATGCAAATGGGGAGATGGACGAGGCTTATGCGAATTGTCGTGAAAGTTGCTAAGAGACGAGAAATGGTTTTAATTCAGAAGAGTAAAACATGTCATTACTTTAAAATAATAAGGGCAAATATGAAAAAAAAAGTTAGGAAGCTCCTAGCTTATTTTGAAACGCTACCTAAAATAGCGTTCCAAAATAAGCTCTTATTTTAAGCTAGGAGCTTATTTTGGAACATTACCAAACAGAGCTTATAGCTTATTAGTAGCTTAAAATAAGCTATAAGCTCCTAGCTTATCTCTGCCAAACAGAGCCAAAGAATTTTTATATTGAAGAAAAATAAAGACAATATAACTAATACAATTATTTCTCTTATTTAATTTATTGATAATGAATAATTTTTTTTTTTTTGAATAAAGGCATTGTGGACACATAATTCTAAATTAAAGAAATGCATATGTATTATTTTTTGTTGTAACTACTAAATTATTATTTATATATAATTTAATAAGAGTAAAATAGAGTACTAATTATGTCAACTTTGATTTGGATGAGGTTCGAACCTAAAACCTTTTTTTATTGAAATCAATGAGTAAGTTAACAGTGAACTAACGGCAATTCTTAAAATTTTAACGGAATTAGTAACGGTGTGTGGGTATTTTAGGAAATTTTAGTGTAAAATTTAAACCTGATCAATCTTTTAATCAATCTGAGCCATTCATTTGATTAAAATCTATGACCGCCATTTTTATTTAAATCTGATCAATCTTTTAATCAATCTGAGTCATTCATTTGATTAAAATCTGTGACCGCCATTTTTTCTACCCATTATAGGCCTAACTCTTTTGGGCTCTTATTAGTATAGTAGAAATTGCACTTTTGGTTCTGTGACTATTAAAGGGCGTTTGGTTGGAGGGATTTTAAATTCTCTTCCCACTTAATTCCCACCTAATTCCAAAGGCCATTAAATTCCGTAGTTTGGTTGGAGGGAATTGCAATTCCATGGAATTGCAATTCCCCCATTTTCATGGAATTAAAATCCCATGTCCCCCCTGGTATTTTAATTCCTGGGAAAAAAAGATAGTGATGAGTCAAAATTACCCCTTCCTTTTTTACCTAAAATTAATGTCTAACAACAATAATGGACATTTTTGACTTTATACTACTTATTCCTTTTTCAATTCCCATGTATACCAAACATTGGAATTGAAATTCCCAGTAATTCTATTCTTGTCAACCAAACACTGGAATTTAAATTCCCACTTTATTCTCAATAATTCAACTCCCATGGAATTACAATTCTTTTCCCACATAATTCCCCCCCTCCAACCAAACGCCCTGTTAGGGTACTGATAATTTGAGTACGTAACTTTTAAAACTCTCAATTTAAACCTTTAACTATGCAATTATTAGCAGATTTGGTCTTGCCGGCCAAATTGCCGGTCAATTTTGGCCGAAAAAACATAAATTGGTTCGAATTTATTTGTAATGAGGGCAAAACCGTCATTGCAAGTGAATTTAATTGGGGGGAAAATCCCATCAGCGGAGCACCACGACGGCAACTGCCGCGACAATAGAAAGAAGAGGGTTTGGATGGACTGCGTTTTACAACTCAACCAGACTCTTGACGGCGTTAAAGATAACACCACTTCCTGCGCCGACGTCGACGCCCAGACGTGGATGAGCACCGCCCTGACCAACATCGAGACATGCCGCTCCAGCGCCGTCGAGCTCAACATTTCGAGCGTCGTTGAACCCATCGTCTCCAGCAACGTCTCCGAGCTCATCAGCAACTGCTTGGCCGTCAATGGAGTTTCGGTGGACGCACACAACTCCACCGCCGTAGAGGATGACCGTCAATGGAATGATTCACTGTGTTGTTTCCTCTTCCTCTTTGACTGGCCTGTCAATGGACCAGTAATATGAATTTCTTATTTTTATTTTTATTTTCTTTAATACCTATTCATTTTAATGTTTTTTTTGGTGACCAAAAAACCAACAACTGCAACAATGAAGAAGAAAAGAACGAAGAAGGGGAGAATGAAGAAGAAGAGAGTGAAATGACAATTTACCCTCGTCAAAAAACAGTTTGAACCAATTTATGTTTTTCCGACTAAAATTGGCAATTTATGTTTTTCCGACTAAAATTGGCCGGCAGAAGGTTTAAATTGAGAGTTTTGAAAGCTACGTACTCAAATTATCAGTACTCTAATAGTCACAGGACCAAAAGTACAATTTGTCCCTTTTATATATATATATATGGTAAAAGCAAATGATAAGGGTTTATGATTTTATTTTTTTTTAACAAAGGGTTTATAACTTTTTGTGTGTATTCATAATTTCGGGCAAGAAAATAAAAATAGACTTTAAAATGACGAGAAAAGTGTGCTAACGTTTTTTTTTTTAATTAAAACCACAACCAATTGAAGTCTCGTAATACATTTCAAATTAAATATTAAAATCGCTAAGTAACATAAACCCAATGTGGAAGCCATTTTCCTCCGACGACCAATGATTAGATGTAATGTAATACACACAACAAATATAAAGTAATTCAGTTTTTATCTCAACTCTGTGCAACACTTGTGTGCCCATATCTTTGCATGACTCTTTTAGTTGCCAATGCCGCAGCCTCACTTGCACGCAATGTCCCGGTTGCCATAATTGCAGCAAACTCTCTAGTGATCTCCCCTTGTATCTTGCTCCGGGCGTCTCCCAAAGGATCCACAGGATTGACTGCACCTGCAACTTCATCGCTCTTTCCATTTTTCACTCCCGATCCCGAATCAACACCCTCTTTTATTGTGTCTTCCGATACACTCTTGTTGCTTCCCGAATGGGAAGCAAGAGGAGCTGTTGTTGAAGGTTTGAAGACAGGAGCTTGAGGAACTGCACCAACCCTTAATGTAGCCTCCATCTGTTGTATCATTGGCACTGCATTTTAAGTCACATAAATTTCACACTCAAATTAAATAACCAAGCCTAGGCCTTCAACCTTATGGTGCAAAGCATAGCATTGAGCTCGAATACATCACATAACATAATATAACAAACCAATTAGAAATGTGTACTTCAAAATGAACAAATGCAAAGTGGAAAATAACTTACACATGAGAGCACCCATTGGGCTGCTCATGACCTCATTAGGAAGGTTCAGAATATATTCTGGAATGGTTGCACCCACCAAAAACTGAGCGACCTCATTGCTGAAATTATTGCAGTTATGGGTCAGTAAACTATAGGTCTCTGCAGTGTAACGGGGGCTAATCTCCTGCAAATATGATTCAAAAACATCCTTTGGAAGATGTGTGACACCGAGTTCCACAACTCGAATAGGAGTCCCATAGGGTGTAGTACCCACAGGAGCATGTTGTATCCCGCCGCCAAAATAATATTCATTACCATAAACAACTACTCCAGTGTGCCTGCAGAATAAGAATTTTCCTAGAGGTCAGTTACACTAGTTACAATAATATGTTTGGCTACTCTACTCCTATTCCTACTTTCTCAGTTACTGTTATCCCTAATTCCTAAATCCTCAGTTTTATACTTTTATTGGTACAAAATTTAATAATTGTTAGATGTCCAAGGTATGCCCCTATATATAACTCACCATATGCCTTCAATGGTTTTGCCCAAGAATGCAGCAGACATCTGGCGAGCTAATCCTTGGCTTAAGTCATACACATTCAACAAGACCGTGTGTCCCTCCTGCCACAATCCAAGATTAGATGATTTCAATAAATAGCAGCTCAAAAGCATGAAGTCCTTCCAAACCAGATGAGCATATACTGTACCTCAGCCATCTCCGACACTCCGATATAAAAGAATTTCTTGAAATCAGGTCAGTTAGCAGGAAAAACACTGTAAAAGGAGCTGATGGATGGGCTGGCAGAATGAACTGCAACAACTTTATGAGTGAACAAAGACAAAATCAGCACCAATGGAGAAGGTAAAAAACTAGAAACAAACAGAAAAAAGTCTTGACCCAAAGCAAAACAATAGAAGCAATCATTCATCAACCAAAGCCAATCAAGCAATTAAACAGTAACATGGAATAGAACAAACATGATCCCCAAAAAACTTGGCATAATGAAAAAATAAAATACAGAAAAATAAACTTACACAATAAGTAGTGACCCATTTGATTTTACCTAAACTACATTCAAAAGCAGTTTACACTTTACAAGCATAAAGGAAGAATCTACTCAGAAGAACCTAGATGGCTAGATCCCCCGTCTTTTTTGAGATTATGCAAACCAACATTGCTATGAACCATGCATAAAAACCATTCATAGATATGCATTTAAAAAATACATCATGAATTGGTTGGATTTTAGCCTATTTTATGGTCAATAGCAGTGTAAAGAAACAGTGTTTTTAACCACATACTAATCAAGGAAAGAAACATCATGCTAATTAATGTTTACAAATCTCCCTTTGGAGTTAGATCAATATTTCATAGTGATTCAACTTTACACCTACCATGTGAAGAAAAAAGCATACCCGCATATCACCATTACATGAATTAATTATATTAGTTGCCAAAAAAAAGGGTGGGAATATTAACAAATTTTACAGAAGTATGTTTTTGCAGCAAGCAGATATATGTTTTTCTTCCAACTGAAATATAGGCTAGAAAACCCCTAATTTTTTCATATATTGGTTAGGATTTATTAGGGTTTATAGGCCACAATAAACAAACTGAAAAGTGAAAACCCAAGTTTATTGTTAGCTAAATTTTTACTAGCTAAACATGGTCACCATATATTAGCAGAACATCATTGATTTGTCAGATTGAAGTTAATTAGCAAGTTATATACGGAGTAATTAACAATCTAAACATTGTCACTGTGAGCATAGCATCATCCTGACACCCAAAAAAAGAAAAAAGAAAATTGATTTGTCAATTAGCAATAGCATTTTGCAGCTTGAACAGCGAGTCGGCAGCAGATAACAGAGCAATAATTCAAAAGAAGGATGAAGATAAGAAGATAATAGAATGTTCCATCGGCAGATATAAATAAATTCACGACCTGTGAAGAAAAATAGGAGAAAGCACGAAGAAATCGAAAGAAGCAGAATAATTCAAACACACAAATCGAAGAACACAACAAATTTAGCTTAGTTCAGTAGGAAAAAAAACACCGCACCTATGAAGACCTTCAAGCGATTGATCGAGCCGAAGAAGGATGAAGAGTTATAGGAGAAGGAAATTCTAAAAGAGTTATAGGTGAAGGAAATCCTGAAATCGAAAGTTCGCGAATGGGTGAAGAAGCTGCGACGAAGTATAAGATCTGCTGATTTGTTTTGAATTCATAATAGGTTTAATATTGAAAATTAATCTCAGAACATTCGAGAAGAGTTTGGTAACACGGAGTAATATTACTTTGAATTTTACGTGGCAGATATATAATATTATTTGTAGTGGCATTTGGTTTACGAAATGTTTGATTACCTTAGAAACAAGGTCGGTCGCATTTTGATAAATAAATGAGGCTTTACCAAAAGGCAAGAACTCAAATTTATGACCTTCAAGATGAAACATTATATATACACGTTTTTACCACGAGTCTTCTAAGATTAATTGTAATTTTATTTTGTTTTAATGTCTTAACTAGCTAGGTAAAAATTAAATATTGAGCCCTCTCAAATCCAAATACATTGTGCTCGGATGGCTTGTAGTGACTTTTTCCATGTAAGAGGTCATAAGATTGAGTCTTTGTGGAGGTGTTACCAACTGGAACTTTACTTATATGACAATATGACATCTTATGTGGAATTCTACTTAAAATAAAATACAATATATTGTTTCCTACTTTCCTATTCTACATTAAAATTCTTATTCTAATATTATAAAATAGTGTTGTACATTAAAATTCTTATCGTAATACAATACAACAATATTAAATTCATATTTCTATTCAACAATATTATATTATTTCTTATCCCGTTAAAAATTATATTCTCCATTATTAGTTTTATAATTCTCTGTTTTCAAAGTTCAAACTCCCATTAAAACTCAAATGTATAGCTGAATTATTAAGATTTAAATAAAAAATACTTTAAAACATGCATGCTTAATTCCTCGCCATGTATCTTCCGGCAATCACATAGAAGAAGCCTAATCTCATACAACACTGATAAACTCAGTTAAAATCAAACTCAATCTCATACTTCACGTTGTACTCAAACACTCCTAAAGCACCTATAAATATGGCACAAAACCTAGCACTCCATCACCAAGACTGAAACAGAAGATTTAGGAAGAGCAATTTGGAGCTTGGCTTTTCAATCAAGTAAAAATTATATTCTCACGTTTTTCTTTATCATACAAGCCTTTATCTGCAGGGGTAAGAAAAAGATTTGCAAAGAACAATACAACTGCAACGAATAAAAAAAAAAGTTGTCTGGTTCGTTAGACTGGTATTTTCATTGTCCATTGGAAATCAATCATTCATAAAGATTAATACTCCATCTAGAAATCATACTAGCGATAGCTTTATATCGTCAATTGTTGCCGGAGATTGACCATCCCTTCACTATTCTCACTGTATTTACGTAAATTAAAATAGAAAAGACAAAAATGAATGTTCACTGTAGATGATTCAATGGATTAAATCCTTGTTGCATGCAGTGTATGGTTGCATGTCCACCACATGGTTAATTGCGCACTACCCACAACAAACATATATAGAAAAAGAAAAATTATGATTTCATAACTCACCAATCCATTGTATTTATAGGTAGAAAATATGAGAATTATAAACTTGTATAATTTTTTAAAAAGGAAAGGTGTAATTATGTAATATTATCAATTAATAAATTTTAATTAATTTTCATTTTACATTTGCTTACCAAATAGGTTTTATTACAAAAGTTTGAGCGGAAAAATGAAATAGGAGGATTTTGTTTATATATATATATATATATATATATATATATATATATATATATATATATATATATATATATATATATATATATATATATATATATGTAAATATAGATATAGATTATAATTAATTCATTCATATATAGATGAGGAGGAAAAAAGTAAAGGCCATATGGTGAAAAGAAATATACTTAATGTATAAAAGTATAATTGCACAGATATTAGTATAATTGACTAATAATTATTATGATAATTAAGCTAAATATGGATCGTTGAATTTATTTTTATAATAATTACAATTAAATTATTTATCCTTTTTTCTCCTATTTATTTTAGTAATAATATAAACATAAATAATATTACATATTGATTTTTTTAAGATAATTGCAGACAAACAAGTAATATATTATTCAATTAATTGAGTGATACTTTTACACTAATCTTATAATGAAATAAATGTACATTTTCAAATATTAGAATTGTTTATAATTTCATCTTTAATTTTTATTATCTAAATATATAACAAAAATTAGGAAAACGTCACTTTTTCCCCTGAGTTATACACACATTCACATTTGCCCCCTCAATTATTATAAAAGTGACGATCCTCCCCCCCCCCCTCCCCCCCCCCCCCGATATATTAAATGGACATTTCTACCATTAAAATCAATATTTTATTTATTTCTTTTATTCAACAAATTATTGCTTATACGTAGGATGACCACGATTTGGTTCGAGCTGAACCGAACACTATAGCAATCAAATCAAATTTTTGTTGTTATGATTCAGAACCAGAACCCAATATTTGGGTTTCCGTTTATTAAAATCGTGAACTGAAAAAGATAGATCCTGAACCGTGAACCATAGGTTCAAATCGAAACAACTATTAGCATTATTAGTTTAAAATTAGAATTATAATATTTGCAAGTAGTGTATATTCTTTTTCGCATTTATTCTAATTCTCACATAAAAGTATATATAAACGCGATTTGGTTTTGATTTTGAACCGTCAATTCACGATTTCAGATCCAATTTGAACTGCTGGTTCAAACTTTCTTTTATTTTTTTAAATATTCTAAATTCAACAACTAATGTACTTTATTTTTTCAATTCAGAACATGAACTGACAGTTTCGGTTCGCGATTTTAATAAACTCTAAATATCGGGTTCCGGTTCTAAATTCTGATCATAACCTTTGTGTTTGGTTGCTATAGTGTATATTCGGTTTGAACCAAATCGTGGTTATAATTTGTTGGAGAAGAAAAATAAATGAAATATTTATTTTAAGGGTAAATATGTCCATTTAACATATTAGGGGAAAAACTGTCACTTAAATAATTCAGGGGAAAAAATGCTATAAGTATATAACACAGGGGGAAAAAGTGTCATTTTCCCATAAAAATTTTATCGTGCATCGCATGGGTAATTGAGAAATTATTTGCTTGGATTAAAGCAAGGATAACATCAAAAAACATAACACAGCGGGCGGCTCGGGTTGGTTGGCCTGGTCTGGTTCGGGCAGAACTGGCTAAGCCGGCGCGAGCTAGTTAGGCCGAATAGAAGTAGGAGCCGTGGGGCGAGGCTGAAGGATGGATTCAGCCCACGGCTGATTTTGTTTAGCTAATGGTGCCTGCAAAATATTTTTAGTAGCGAAGGGAAAAATCCCTTCATCAAACCGAACATGCCGACACACATAAACTTTGTTAGTCTGTAAGTCTATGCACCTATAACCCCGGAAAGACTCTGGATAACCTAAGAAGACAGAAGGAGAAGACATGTAGGACATTTTATGACTATTGTAAGGTCTTAAATGGGGATAACATAGACATCCAAAGTCACGAAGAAAAGAGTAAGACGGGGGGGGGGGGGGGGGGGGGCGGGGGGGGAGGGGGTGATGTATGTAGCATAAGGTGGGGACTGGAGTTATTTAACACAAGTTACACAACATAAGTCATTCTAATTATTAAATAAAAAAGGCAGTCTCAAAAGCAAAATCCCAGAATTTGTTTGGAACAAAGGCATGAGCCAAGAGAGTCAAGCCAGTTTCAACAATATGTCTATGTTTCCTTTCGACACGACCATTATGTTCATGAGTGTAAGCACATGATTGTCTATGATTAAACCATAGCTGAACAAATGAAGAGTGTAATTTTTTGTACTCAGCTCCTAAATTAGATTGAATGAACTTAATGTTGCGATTAAACGACCTTTCAACCAGGACACGAAATTTATCAAAGATAACATAGATGTCATATTTTAGTTTCATAGGATAATACCATGTGAATCGATAGCGATCATCCACAAAGATAACAAAGTAACGATATCCTTCAACAGACAACAAGGGAGATAGACCCCAAATGTCATTTTATATTAAATCAAGAATATTCAAACTAGAAGACTCAACACGAGACAAAGGAAAATGGGCAGATTTTCCTAATTGACATGCACTGCACAAACTAGAATCACAACGAATAGTACTACTAGACCCACTAACCAAACAAGACTGAAGAACACGACTAAGGACACGTTGATGTGGATGACCCAATCGACTATGCCAAATTGAAGCAGAGGCATGAGCGGAAAGAAACAAACTTGTTACTGGCAGGCTATATAGCCCCCAGAGCTACTGCCCCGTAGAATAATTTCCTTTGTATTGATATCCTTCACAACAAAAAAAGAGGGGTGAAACAAAAAAAACACTTTATTATCTGAAGCAAATTTTTGAACAGACAACAAAGAAGTAGACAATGTAGGAACATGAAGAATATTTGACAATTGAAACGACCTAGAAGGAGTATTAAAGGAAGTATGACCAACATGACTAATAGATAAATTCGTACCATCACCGACACGCAAAGTGTTATTACCATTGTACTCCTACGAGGTAGAAAGAGCGGTTATATCTGGAGTAGCATGATTGGTTACACCTGTGTCTGGAAACCAAGTATGAGCACCCTGAGTGGAGTATGAAGGAGAGTCCTAATATAATATATGAGCATGGGGATCTTTAGTATACCGAAGATGACACGTAACCGCAGTATGACTAAGTACCCCACACAATTGGCATTTAGGGGGCCAGTTTCCATTCCTGCCGCCACCACGTCATCCGCCACCACAGTTCCGGCCACCGCCGCGAGACTGTCCGGCCTTATAGCCGGAGTTGCGTCCTCCTCCTCCACACGATTGGCCGCCTCTACCACGTTGTTGTCCGCCCCGCTGCGCTATAAAAGCAGTCGGCGAACCACCGCCTGGACCACCACTCGAGAGAAACTCCTCCGCGCCAAGGAGGTCAGCAAGCTCATGGAGCGTCACCGGCTGTCCGTGTACATTAAGAGAGGATGCTAGAGAGCGAAATTCCGACCGTAAACCCTTGAAAACATAGATGTTCTGCTCTTCAAGAGTAATCGACCGGCTGGCGAGAGTGAGGTCTTCCACCAAGACCCGTGCCTTGCCTACGTAGTCTGCAACTGAACTGTTTCCTTGTCGAAGGGACTAAAGTTGCCCTAGAAGATTCAAGGACCGAGACCTGGACGACGAAGCCAGCGCATTGACGACCGCCTCCCAAACAGTCCGACTAGTGTAGTGTCCGATGGCCAGTGGCATTACCTCGTCGGACAACGAGGACATGATCATGGACAAGAGAGCCTGATCTTGTCGAACCCAAACTCTATGAGCGGGATCTGGCTGCGCTGGCGCACCTTCTACGGCAGGGAGATAAGCCGGCGGACACGGGTTCGTACCATCAATGAACCCCATCAAATCATGACCATGAAGAAAATAAACAACCTGAGCTCTCCAAAATAGGAAGTTCTTGTAGGTCAGTTTGATACTGATAAAGTGATGAGCGGTGGACAAGGAATTCACGATCGATGTGACCAAAGAGATACCAACATTCGAGACGATCCGTTCCGAGGAGTTAGCAGACCCGTCAGCCATAGGAAAGAAACCCTAGTTTAACTGATACCATATAAGGATTGATAGAATTGTATTGAATGAATGTAATTACAAAGGTACAGATCATAGGTATATATACAATGAGAAACATATGGAGACTAGGATATGGAGTCATGGACTAACTCAAATACATAGAGTCCTAATAATAGTTTCCTATTCTTCAAGGCTAACCCTTTTGAAGCGAATAACATTAAGAATCTTCTGCTTGATTATGAGAAGGCTCTGGGGAAGTGCATCAACTTGGTCAAATCATCTTTGGATTTTAGCAGCAATGTTAAGATTGATGTTAGATCTACTGTGGGGAATATTATGGGTATCCAGAGCGGAAGGGGTGCTGGAAACTATCTAGGTTTGCCTATGATAATAGGAAGAATCAGGAGGGAGATTCTTGGGTTTATCAAGCAGAGAATTTTGAACCGTATTTAGTCATAGGTTTCTATCCAGAGCTGGTAGGGAAATTCTTCTAAAGACTATGTTCCAAGCTATTCCTACTTATGCAATGATAGTCTTCCTTTTGCACAAGAGATTAATCAAGGATATTGAGACAACTATGAACTCTTATTGGTGGGGAAGGAGAGATACTACAAACAGAGGCATTAACTGGAAATCCTGGAGTTACCTTTGATTGCCTAAAAAATGGGGTGGTATGGGTTTCAGAAATCTCAGTGACTTCAACTTGGCCCTTATATGTAAACAGGCTTGGAACTTGCTTCGTAGACCAAACTCTCTAGTTTCTAAGATCTATAAAGGTTAGGTACTACCTTAATACTTCCTACCTTGATGCAAAAACTGGGTATTTGGAGTAGCATGATTTCAGCTCAAAATATCATTGGAAGGATAACTAGCTCCCGAATAATTCCAACAATAAAGTATCTTCTTACCCTTATCCTCTTATGGAGAATGCAAGAGTTACTAGTCTTACTAATCCAAATGGTCATATCTGGGATGAGGAAACTATCAAGATCATGTTCAATCAAAGGGATGCAGACTTAATAATGAAAATTCCCCTCCCTAAGCAGCAAGTTCACGACAAGATCATCTGGAGATCGGAGGAAGATGGTGTCTTTACATTCAAGAGTTGTTACAAATCACTACAAAGTGTCTTACGATATGAGGACATCCATGAGTGGAGCAAATTATGGAAATGTAAGGTCGCACCCAAGTTTAAGACCTTCTTGTGGCAATCATGTACCTCGACCTTACCAACCAGAGATCTTTTGAGAAGAAAATATGTAATCTGTGAGGAGAAATGCCTTCTGTGCAATGCTGGGATTGAGTCCATTTTCCACATTTTCGTTGAGTGTGACTATGCTAAATCATGTTGGAACCAGTTGAGGATTGCTTCATCACTTGGGACTTTGTCATGCTTTTAGGATTGGGTTAATCTCATGATATCCTCTCTGTCTAGCAACCAATCAGACTTGGTTTTCATGGGTTGTTGGACCATATGGTCCCTGAGGAACAATGTATTGTGGAACGACCACGCAATCGACTCAGCAGAGTTCACGGTCAGAAGAACACATGAATGCTACAGAAATTGGTCGGAGGCTAATAAGGATCAACAACCGATTTTACATGGAAGTCGGTCTGGGCACATTCACTGGACAAACCCAACCCAGGTTACTTCAAATTAAATGTTGATGCAACCATTGACACACAAAGAGGATGCATGGGTTTTGGATGTATTATCAAAAACGACCAAGGTCAGTTCGTGGCAGCAAAAGGATCTCAATGGCAGGGCACCTTCAGTTCCAGAGAGCCTGAGGCAGTTGCAATTAGAGAATCTCTCAGTTGGCTCAAACATCATAATTTCGACAAGGTGTTGATAGAGACAGATTCGCTCCAAGTCGTTCATGGCATCAATTTTTCTAGCGGTGATTCTTCATTTCATGTAATGCTATGCGATGTTAAAACTTTAATGAGTCATTTTATTCATGTTAGTTTAGCGTTTGTTAGACGATTTGCGAACCAGGACTGCACACTTGTTTGCTAGGCAGTCTATTTCTTTGTCTGATTGTTCGGAGTGGTTCTCAAACCCTCCCCTAATGTGTTAACTTATGATCTTATCTAATATATCTACTTTAAAAAAAAAAAATCGGTAAATAATTTTAAAAATAAAGAGCTTTCTAAATTCAAAGGAAAACATAATGGATTTGGTACCAAGTTGACCAAATGTGAAGAAGAGCATAGGGGCATGAATGCAGTACGGCCACTCATAGGAGTCATAGCCCACTGGGCTCACTTCAACTACTTTTCCCATAATGACCTCAACACCCGAGCCTATAAAAGGTCCAACACGTTGCCTCGCACTCCCATTCCACGTCACCCTCGCACAGCATCACTATCCTGCCGTTACACTCCCGCACCGCTTTGGCTCTCCCCAACGCCGTAACGGAACCTTCCGAACCCAGCTCCAAACCCAACTTTTTGCTCAATAAAGGGTCGTGGTATGGCCTGCCGAACCTGCGGTTCGTGTCCTTTTGGTGACAACCTGTCATCAGTGTTAACTATTTTTCGGCTTTCTTCTCTCTCTTCGATATTTTTCTCCTGTCCGCCTGTCTGTGCGTCTCTCTCTCTCTCTCTCTCTCTCTCTGACTTCAACTTCAGCTTCACTGAGAATCTCCGACTTTCTTTTTCGCGAGAAAAATCTGAAAACCCCTCCCTAAAAACGGTAAGGAATTAAGTTATTGTTGAGCGATTCATTTCTATTTAAGAAAACAAGAACTAAGATAAATTAATCCAATATTGCGATCGCCGTACGGATTCTAATACGAGAATCGATTTGCTTTGAGTTTTAAGGCTGTCCAATTTTGTTAATTGTTCGGTGATTTTGAAGTGAACTGAATTGGAGCGGGTAGAAGTGTAAAATTTCAAGATCTTCCACTCGAGAGAGTTTTAATTGATGAAGATCTTAGTTTCATTGCTTAATTGTGTTAATTTTTCGTATTTTTGGTTGCGGTGTAGCATTAACTAGGACTTGGTTCCGGGAGATCTTACTCTGTTGGGAAATGCACCGTTTGATCTCTGAATTAGGAATGAGTTTGAGGCTTTCATGAATAGAACGGTATGAATTACTTTTCCTTTTTTTTTTTTTTTTTTGGTCTGTTTGTCGCCTGTTTATGCTTTTTAATTAAGCTTTGCTGAGTTTCTCTATGTCTTTATTCTAGGGCTGAGACTGCAGTGAGAAAGTGTTCTTTTACTGCTTGATTGTGGAATTGGAGTGAACTCATGGCTCAGAGTAATTGGGAAGCAGATAAGATGTATGCAGTTCTTTCGGCAGAACTACTTTGATAGTTTTACAATTTTTGGGTTATTTTTAACCTGAATGCTTTCTAATGAAATCTAGGAAAATTGTTAGTTCTCATAGAAATTATAACTAGGAATGTCTGTTGGTTTCAGTCAGAAACAAGTGAAAATGGGAAAATCTTGTAGCTCACTCATCATTAAAGGAAAAGTTGTTATGTTTTCAATTTTTGCTCCTTTCTGATTGTTGAAATTGTGACCTTCATGCTAGGCTTGATGTTTACATTCATGATTACTTGTTGAAAAGAAAACTGCACAATTCAGCAAAAGCTTTCATGACAGAAGGGAAGGTAGCGACGGATCCTGTAGGTAATAGTTTGGATGATTATTCGCTGTGGCTCGATTTTAAGTGATACATATAGCTGATCAGTTTTACTTTCACTGCCCTTCACTTTATTTGATTGGTTTCTACAATCTACATTCCCCCAATTCTAATTTATTTATTAATCTTTTTGGGCATTTATCTTTGTCCTTTTTTTTTTTGCAGCTATTGATGCACCTGGAGGGTTTCTTTTTGAATGGTGGTCTGTGTTTTGGGACATCTTCATAGCAAGGACTAATGAGAAGCATTCAGAGGCAGCTGCTGCTTACATAGAGGTTTAATGAACTTTCGATTATTCCTTTCTACTTTTTTTCTTGCACAAGGGAAAAACAGAAAAAAAGATAGGTGCTTCTTCAGACAGGATACATTTATAGTGAAATGATTTTAATCTGTTCACTTGAATTGGAATTCAGACACAACAAATGAAAGCAAGGGAACATCAACAGCAGCTGCAAATGCAGCAATTGCAACTCATGCAGCAGCGAAATGTCCAGTTACGTAGGGATCCTAATCATCCTCCACTAGGAAGTCCTATTAATGCTATTAATTCTGAAGGCATGGTGGGGCAGCCATCTGCCAGTGTATTAGCTATGAAAATATTCGAGGAACGAGCTAAGCACCCTCATTCCATGGACTCCGAGTCATCCTCAGCACTAATTGATCCCAATAGGATGGCCCTTCTGAAGTCTGCTACCAATCAAGGGTATGAATGATGCAACCTTTTTCTCAATCAAATTCCCTTTGTCCTTCTATTTAAACCAAGTTTGAAATTTCCATGAGATAATTGCTTCATATTTTTCCATTCTTGTGGTTGATTCAGTCAGTTGGTTCAAGGTACTTCGGGGAGTGTGTCAGCAGCTTTGCAGCAGATGCAAGGACGGCCTCAACTGGCAACTGTAAACACTTGGACTTTTAATTCTTTCCTTGCCCTTCAGAATTGGCACTTTGCTTTGGTTGGATCCAGTAAGCTGATATCTTTTGGGATGTGTAGGACATAAAAGCAGAAGTAAACTTGGGTGCAACTCAAAAATCTTTGCCAATGGATCCTTCATCCATATATGGCCAAGCAATTCTTCAGTCGAAATCTGGACTTGGCGGTGCAGGTAACATCATTAATAATGTTTGTAAGAATTGTACATGGATATAATATGTGAAAGATGTGTTATTAGAATAAAGATCGTTTCTTTTTCCTTACCAGAAACAATAATGTGTATGGTAATATAAGTTTATAATTTAGAAATGCTTTAATTACTTTTGAGAATTCTACCAAATCTCTTACAAGTAATTCATGATTATAAGAGCTTCACATTTCAAAAGAAATCTTTGTTACCTGGAGTTAGGTGTACACATCGGTTGCTGTTATGAGCTCAGCGTATGTGTGCCTAGCTTTTAATAAGTTTTTAATGCATTTTGGATAATCCATACGAAGTCCATGCTCAGGGATCAATACATGGGGGGCAAAGGAAAGAAATGATGTACTTCTACTTCCTTGTATCACAGATGTAATAAATACAGTAAAAAAAGTTCCTACTGAAAGAAAGAGTTGAAGTGGTGTATCTTGATATCTTCCCCTTCTTTTCGTCCTTGGCTTCTATAACTTCCTGTTTGCGTATGGATTATTTTCTCTTCTTTGAAGTGGTTTTTATTTATAACTGTTAAATCTCTTTGCTGATTGAATATGATCCTGCGTGGTTTATTTATCATTGTAGCAGCACAAGTGGTTTGGTTTTCAAGTATTGTGTAAGGTACTCATTTTCAGGATTAACAAACGTTAGAAGCGGTTTCTTTAAATTTAAGTAAATGTACTCACAAGAATAATTGAAGTATGAAAGTTTGAAAACTATATATTGTTACCTGATTCATGGATGGTGTTGCTATGAGTTCAGGGTAGTGTGTGTGTGTGCTTGTGTTTTTTTAATGTATTTTTAGAATTGAATTTTTTGTTTGTTTTTTGTTTTGTTTTTGTTTTTGTTTTTGTTTTTTGTTTGTGTGTGTGTGTGTGTGTGATTATGAAAAAACATTCAATATATTTGTTGAGCAAGTTATGAAGTATGGTTTTCTGTTGTTTAGAACTGTTTACTTTTCATTACTTTGCAGGGTTAAATCAAGGTGTCACTGGTCTTCCATTAAAGGGTTGGCCCCTTACTGTAAGTTACTAGTGGCTCATGCTATGCCCCATTCTCTTTTGATGTATTCTTGTCGGAGAAATATGGATGCTTGATTGCTGAAGCTTTCTGTATTGTGCAGGGAATTGATCAATTAAGACCAAGTATGGGTTTACAAGTGCCAAAGTCCAATTTACAGACCCAAAATCAGTTTCTTTTGACATCCCAACAACAGCAGGCCCTAGCACAAGCCCAAACACAAAACAACCTTGGGAACTCGCCTAATTATGGTTTTGGTGGATTACCAAGGGGTAACTTTAATCCAAAAGATGGTCAACCCCCAAGAAATGATGGATCTATATGTTCTCCTGTGCAATCAAATTCCCCGAAGGTTGTGCATATTTACCCTGAATAAAAATTTTAAAAAAATATTGCTACTGCTGGTAACACCAGTGCTTTTCATAGACAATAATTTCCCAAAATGATTAGTATACAGCTGCTGCCCATTGCATTTAAACTTCTGTGGTTTTTTTTTTTTTTTTTTTTTTTTTTTTTTTTTTCTGTCTCTTATGAACATGATGAGCAACATCCTACTTTTGTTTGATTGCCAACATGATATACCTTCTATTTTTAAAGCTGTGTTCCAAGAGATCATCATAGTTCTTGTTGGAGAGTTGGAACAAGAATTTTTCAAGTTAGGCAGTTTGTGGTGTAAACTTTTAAGCATGGAATTCTTGTTGGAAGAGGAGAGATTGATTCTCGAAGTTATGGCCAGATCCCTTCCATGCATATCTGGAGACCCTATCAGAGGGGGTGTGCCTTGCTGTTGATAGAAATCAGAGAACAGAAGTCTCAAAAGACTTTATCCATAGTGTGATTTTTTCTTATAAGAATGCTAACATAGTTTCCTAAGGTCAACTAACTGCACTGGCAAGTTACAGCAACAGGATATTGAGAAAAGTGCTGTCTCATGATGCGTGAGGGAGTGCAAAGTTCCCTCTGTCAAAAGCAAAGTGTTAAACTTCCTAAACTATGACCCTTAGTGAACTATGGAGGTTTGTTTTAATTCACAATTTTGTGGGTTGGTTGGTGATTATTGGCAATAACTATTTGGAAAGAGATGGAAAATTTCTGGTGGATCAATGTGAGTTGTTTTTAAGGGGGGTGGGGGGTGTCATTTTCTCGCATGTCGGTCTGTATACCACAATGTATTTCTTTGGCTGGTTAAAATGGTGTTGGCTTGTTACCGAGAACTCCTGTCTTGCAGATGAAGATGCCCCAAATGCAGCAATCTTCCTCTCAACAACAGGACCAACTGCAACAGCAACAGCAATTGCAGCAGGTTAATTCCTCTTTCCTTATTTTTTGTTGTAATAAACTTGCATGGAATTGAGTCTATAGTCAATAACTAGGAGCATCATCATGTTCTATAGAACTAAATATAGTAGAAACCAGGAAAACTATAATTGCATTAGTGGGTTATGGATATCTTTAAACTGTCACAAATATATGGTTCCTGTAAGTCACTACTCACTAGACTATTCCTTCCATAACATCTTTCTTAACTCAAATATCTTTTCATATTTCTTTTATCCATTCATCCTTTATGCTCCTGATTCCTGTCTTAACTACTTTGTTGGTTGTTCCTCTCGTGGTAAATTAGAAATTATTTATATAGGATTTTTATCTGAGTACAGACTAACAGGAAAAGGAAGCAGCATTCCTCGTCTGGACCTGCCAATAGTACAGGCACTGGGAATACAGTTGGTCCTTCTCCAAATTCACCACCATCGACACACACACCTGGTGATGCAATGGGCACTGCTAGTAGCATGCAACATGTCAACAGTGTTTCAAAGAGCTTGATCATGTATGGTGCTGAGGGAACTGGTGGTATTGCATCATCTACGAATCAGCTGGTATACCTTGCTTTTGTTTGTGCACAGTGGACTAACTTTGCTCACGCCTCACGCTGCTTTGTTATTTTCATGTTTGCATCAGCAAGCATCTTGTTTATTAATTATTGAACAGCGCTTATGTTGATGCCAGTATGGTTTTCTTCTGTCCGTAAAGGATTTAATTGCTATAACTTTTATTACAGGATGACTTGGAGAATTTTGGAGACATTGGTTCTCTGGAAGATAATGTGGAATCTTTTTTGTCACATGATGGGGGAGATGGAAATATATATGGCACACTGAAACAATCTCTCACTGAGCACAAACCAGAGCCTAAAGGTAACTATCAAGCATTCTACTTATTTACATGATTGATTGTTTGTATGGTCACCTACTTACCTTGAGAATTCGTCTCAGGGTTTTCCTTTGGGGAAGTTGGTTGTATTCGAACAAGAAATAAAGTAACTTGCTGTCATTTTTCTTCGGATGGGAAGTTGTTAGCCAGTGCTGGACATGACAAGAAGGTAGGTGTCTGTTTGGCAGAATGCTTCCAGAAAGGGGAATTCATCATTTTTTTTTCCTGTATTTATTGTTTTTAGATCACTATACACCCATTCTGCACTGTTTGAATCTATCTTTTTGGTTCACTATAAATGTTATGTTGCTCAGTGTATGTTAAATGTGGAACATTGCTCTTGTATGCTTCAGGCTGTAATTTGGAACATGGACACTTTGCAAACAGAGATGACCCCAGAAGAGCATCAATACTTAATAACTGATGTCCGGTTCCGGCCGAATTCAACTCAGCTTGCAACAGCTTCATTTGACAAGTCCGTGAGGCTGTGGGATGCTGCTGATGTAAAACTCTGCCTGGGAATTGTTTTTTCTTTTAGTGTTTATAATGTTGAATCCTAAATCTTTAGATTATATGTATAAAGTGTGATATTATTAATGTTACATGTCATACTTATATAATTACTGTTGTTATTCCCTATTTAACCACCAAATCATTATTTCTTTTTGTAGGCAGGCTATTGTTTGAATGCCTATACTGGGCATAGTTCGCATGTTATGTCCCTGGATTTTCATCCAAAAAAGAACGATATCTTCTGTTTCTGTGACAGCAATAATGAAGTTCGTTACTGGAGTATTTCTCCATTCTCATTAACTAGGGTGTCAAAGGTGGGCCTTTTCGTTATTTTCTTGCATCTCAAGAATCATTTCCTCTGCAATTTTTGCTACTTGTTTCTTATCCCTATCGAGCTATCTTAATTTCCAATTATTGGTCTCTCATGATAGCAAGGGGGCAGTGCTCAAGTAAGGTTTCAACCTATAACTGGACATCTTCTGGCAGCTGCATCAGATAAGGTGGTATCCATCTTTGATGTTGAAACTGACCGGCAAGTCCATTCATTCCAGGTTTGTAAATGCATGATGCATATAAGTTAGAGGCATCATGGTGCAACTTAGTAACTGATCAGGTTTCCTAAGATTCTTTTGGATGTTATCACATTTTTACTCCATATTCTCACATTAAACTCGTATATCTGTTGCTTAGGGACATTCTGGAGTTGTAAACTACCTTTGTTGGGATCTAAATGGTGAATTGTTGGCATCAGTGAGTGAGGACTGTGTCAAAGTTTGGTCATTGTCCACTGGTGATGCTATTCACGAGTTTACTGCCAATGGAAACCAATTTCATTCGTGTGTTTTCCATCCAAGTTATTCAGCTCTCTTGGTGATTGGAGGAAAGCGGGTACTTACTAACTTTATATTTCCAGCGTCATACTAAGGGTCCCTACAAATTTTACTTGTTTCTTTTCGTTTTTGGTCATTCAACCAATCATAATTAGGGAGAGTATGAAAATGAGTAGAACTTGTCGGAATCTCTAATATTTTTCATATTTCTATAATAATTTTATCACTGATATTTTCATTCTAAATTGACATTTTTAGTCTTTGGAGTTGTGGAACATGGTTGAGAACAAAAGTATGACGGTTCCAGCCCACGAGAACATAATCGCAGCGCTGGCACAGTCACCTCTTACAGGAATGGTTGCATCTGCTAGTCATGACAGCTCCGTCAAGTTATGGAAATAAGTAGGAATGATCATCAAACGTGCTATTTTTTTTTTTATTATGGGAATCAATCAACCGCATATTGCCCCCTCTTAATTTGTTATGATGGATAAATTTAGAAGTTGTACAAGGAATATGGTTGTTGTAATTGTTAATGTGAGCTTTCGGCTTTTAATTTGGCCCAGAAGCAGTGTTATTATATTTGCCAGTTGTAGCTTAAACTGAGACGACGGTAGTACATTAAGTAAGTTTGGTGGGAAGTGAAACAATTGATATATATATATATATAGCCTGATTTATTAACCAGCAATAATATCTATCATTGCATTGAGACCATAGTGTTTGGTGGTATAATTAATTGAATGTATGTGTATCCAAAAATATATCAGATTGTGTGTGTAGCTATTGAAGAATCCAATAAAGTCATTTAGTTGAGTGTTGATCAACTCGGGCATTTTGCATTAAAAATGTTATTGATTGCTGCCGAGCTATTATTGTTGTGTTTGTGTGTAGAGCGTAGGCTGAAATCTTGAAGTAATTCGTGGGAATGAAATGTAGGTGAACAAATTTAGTGGGAGAACGTCTGTTCAGAATATACGCAGACTGAATTATTTACCGCCCAGTGTCTGCCTTTTCTACCTAATGATAATAATGCAAATATTTATTTCTTGTAGGTAAATTGTACTTTGTATCTTTAAAATGAGTATCTATCTATCTATTGCTTTCAACAAAAAAATGAGTAACTATCATTCTATTGCTTTCAACAAAAAAATGAGTATCTATTTTAGCCTCGCCTCTCTTATCATTTTTCCAAAAGGTTGAACCTCAACTCTAAGGGGCCCCACACCCTGACCTGACATCGCCTCTTATCATAATTGACAGGGCAGTAGTTGTTGGTTTTCACACGAATAAAAAGCTATATTATGGACGTCAAATGAGTTTTATATATATATATATATATATATATATATATATATATATATATATATATTGTTTAATAATTAATTATGAAGAGTCCAGAGGAAGGGTGCAGAATTAGGTGCCCTAACCCTCCGGACGGAAGCTAGGAGTGGTTTAGTATTATCGTCGGCAAAATACCTGCCGGAGTTGAAGGAGCTTATGCTGTGCACACGGTTGCAAAAACGACATCGTTTTGACGTCCGTCTTTAAAAAAAAAAATTTAGTTTCGATTGCCGTTAACGATGTTATGTTGTGCATAATTTGAACTATATAGTTCATTCATTCTTGATATATATTTCATTCATTCTGGATATAGAGTTCATTCATTTTGGGTATATATAGTTCATTCATTCTAGGTATATATAGTTCATTCATTCAGGATATATAATCCAAACTATGCACAACATAACGCCGTTAATGACAATCGAAATTGATTTTATTTATTTTTTATTCGGACGCGCGTTTTTAATCAAAACAACGCCGTTTTTGCAACTGCGTGCACCATGCATGATGCACACAGTTGCACGGCATAATTTGCGGGAGTTGAATGCTTTGGCCATCCAATTTCGGCGGCCCAAGTTTCCTTGTTTTTTTTTCTTCCAAAAACTTATAAAATCAAACAGTTATTGCATGTCACTAACAGGTATTTGAGTTTTGATGCACTAAATCAACATGTTTATGTACTTAATTCATTGATTGTAACTTTACTTTAAAATGAAAGTGTATTTCACCACCTTCCCTTTTAAATATAAAGCTCCTTCCTTTTTTTTTTTTTTTTCCTTAAAAAAAAAAAAAAAAAAAAAAAAAACACACACACGAGAGAGACGGGAGGACGTAAAAATAAAATAAAAAGTATGGTTAAATATGTGGGTGCGTCCGTGAACGTGTACGTGGAGATTTGAGCCGAAAGCGCAGGGCCATTATTGGGTGATGCCGAGTGACCTCGGCATTTGTACGGCTACAAGCAGCTACACTGCACAGTAAAAAAATTTTAACAAGTCAAAATCTGAATAATAAACCCCATACAAATTAACACCGCAGAATTTACAGTAGATTTGGTATTTACGAGGTAAATATTTTGGTTAGTTTAAGTTGGGGTTTGTGTGACAGGAGGCATAAGCATTTACGTCACAGTTAACTGTGTTGAGAAATTTGAGAGTGGTAGTAGTAAAACGAGGGACTCCATAATGACTGACTGGCAAGGCATGGGTGAACTTCAAGGTAAAAATTTTTCAGGAGATTCCACCTTGAAACTTTAACTACCCATTATCTATGTTTATCTTCTTCTTCTTCATCCAATATCTAATTAATTTCCTAAAGGGAAAATCCCACTTTAATTTTGTCATTACATTTTTTATAATATTCATTTAGTTTTTGAATTGTTCTTATAATCACTTTTTACATTTCATAATTGGTGACACTTTTCACCTATAAGTAAATAAAATCGTTAAAAACTCAACAAAAATTTTGAATTCTTTTTTAAAAATAACGTCAGTGGTCAATTATTTCAAGCACCCACGGCAGACTTTCGAAAATGTTGATGCATTGAGAATGCTTGACTTGAATTCGTATGAACCTCAGACACGCGCACGTGCTGTGCATATGCATCCTGTGCACAGACCTAATGCTCAAGCAGTTTATGATTGGATTGCTAGATCTGGACATTCTGACATGTATAACCCTACTTTTGCTAAATGTGTACCCTAAGTTATGCACATTATGGTGTTTCACATTGTTTATGTGTTTTTTATATAGGGATGGTGAGTTGTTTCATTATTGTGGTCGTTTTGCACAGCGGGAAGAATTTATCTCTCTGTTGGAAGGTAATGAAGTGCTAATTGGCATATTGAATGCCTGGACATATGTTTTGACTTTTAGGGAAAGGATGAAGGCTGTTGGTTCACCGTCCAGATTCTTCGTGTCAACAACGACTACGTTTCTTTTCTATTCCTCAATATTATGTTTTATTTCACATGCTTTGGGTCTTATTTGGTGTTTCGTTTGTAATTATGGTATAGTTGTACACCGTGGTTGATGTTTCGGCGCCACGTGCACGTCGGTTACAGTGGTTTACAGATAGTATGGATGAGGAGTTGAACTTCTCTCCCTATAATTCATGGGATGAACTTGACATGGTTAGTGTCATGTGTATGCATTTGATATACTGCGCATCTGCCACCGCCCATTTTTTATATTTTAGTTTGTATTTTTTTTGTTGCAGTTTCTTTTTCCTATACTTCAAGCGGATCACTACTACGTTTCAGACGCATGCGTTTTGATGTGATTGATAATTCCTCTGTGGGTGATCTGTCGCTCGAGAAATGGGCACAACTCTACGGTGTTGGTATGTGTGGTGGCTGCATGTGCTTTTCAATTGTTATCCTGAATCAATTTTGGGTTAATATTTAAGGATCCAGCTCTGTTGTGTATGCTTGTTTAACTTAATGTCATTTTTTGTAACATGATCTGCTCTCCGTTTTCTTTGAGATGTTGGGGTAACTGCATTATTTTTGAAGGTCACAAAATTGATTCCTCGTAGGGTTCGATTTCCATGGCGTGATGCAAAGAACAAACTTGATTGTGGCGTGTTTGCGATGCGTCACATAGAGTGTTATGTTGGCCAGTCCTACGCTTCATGGGACTGTGGCCTTCGTAGGGTGATGCACGTGCCTTGCTTGCTTTACGCATTCGCTTCTTGTATGATATTCTGATGTTCCAAAGCAACCCACATCGCCTCTCGAATGTCAACTGTGTTATGAGGTCAAGTGCTGCGGCTCGTTGACGAACATACTTGTATACACAAATTTTAACATTGTCTTCTCACTTTAAATAATGTGTTTAGTGACAACGTTTTTTTTTGTTTCTGGATGTTTTTTGTTTTATGAACTTTCATATGAACATTGCGTATTACAAATGTATCCCATATTTCACTTACATTTTGTGGTCGTTTTTTTTTTGCTTTATTTTTTTTTAAAGTTCTTGCAAACATGGGTGCCAACAGAAAACTAACCCAAAACAAAAAAATAAAAACCACACAAAACAAGCAGTATGCATTAACTTCTATCCACTTATGCACACACCGATACATACCTTCGTACAACCATAGTGATATGCACAGACTGATGGCCTTCTACGCACATAGCAGTACACGAAGGTGCACACTCGCCAGGGCTGGCCCTGGGGCAAGGGCAGGCTGGGCCCTTGCCCAGGGCCCATGCTTGGGGAGGGTTCCATCCTATCTCTTATATATATATATATATATATATATATATATATATATATATATATATATATATATATATATATATATATATATATATATATATATGGAGTATAAGTAATTTATATACATATGTTTTACAATAAGGTGAATTAGCTTTGTTGGTAAGGTACTTGAATTTCAACCTTTTTACAAATTTTATTTTAGAATTCCTCAACTTTACTTCTTTGCTTATATTCTAATGTATATTTTACAAATTTATTTTTATTGATTTTCTGTATTTAATACGGAGTAGTATTTTTAATGTAGCTTTTAAATATATAAATTTTCATATATTTATACTAAACATATTATGAAAATTTTTTATATTAAATATATAAATTTTTATATTAAATTTTTAATGTAATTTTTAAATTTATAAATTTTTATATACTTATACTAAACATATTATGAAAAATTGAATTAAAAAAATTTCAATCAACTCATGTTAACCAAACAAGACACCTAAAAATAGGACGGAGGGGGTTATATGATATATTTTGAGATTGAATTATAAAAAAAAAAAAAAAAAGATAATTTACTCCGTACCTTTTTTTGAATATCTAATCAATGTAATATAGAAGCTTCGATCATGTGTCATTATATGTATTCAAATTATTCTTAAAAAAGTTTAAAATTTATCTATTTAAAAGAAAAAGTATTTGTAATAAAAAAAAAGTATTTATAAAAATCATATAAATAATATAGAAGATGTGTGATTTATAATATGCTTTATGTTCAAACTATTTTATCTAGATAATTATGTTTCATATCTTTTTACATTTTTTTATTGCATTTTGAAATATTTTAATTTCTTGCTCTTAGTCAAAAAAGATTTTTAGCTTTCCATATGTTTGTAATTATTGTTTTATAAATTTTTAATAATAATTAATTTATTATTTATTATGATAAATGTTATTATTTATAAGTTTACTCAATTATAAATTATTTATTCATTTTTATAAACTATAATATTATTTATTTATGAAGGCACTTATACGACTATTTATTATTTTGCATTAAGGAAAGCACCTAGAAATTTTTTTCATGATTATTGTTGTGTATGAAAAATTGTTAAAAACTTGTT